TATATAAGGGGGTGTTGAAATGAAATTGGGAAATAGGGAGAAAAAAAGAGAGAAGAAAGAGACTTAGAGATAAATGGGGAATAAACTATATATATATATAGGGAGAGAATTTCAATAGAAGAACCACTAACCCCAGCAAATGCTGGCAGCAGTACCTGGAGAATAATACAATCTACAACACCCCCTAATTTCCAGCAAAGGAAGGAAAAATAGAAGTAAAAACCAATTAAATAAGAAAATACCAAGAAATAGCAACAATAAAAGAATAAGCAAAATACTATCACTAAAAAAGCATAAAAATACAATATAATCAACATTCCCCTAAACAGCATCAAAAGGACAGTGAAGAAAACAAATTTTTCTTCCTTTTTTGCTAGTTAATTCAGCTCAGAGTGGGATGTGTATGCACTTGGCACAGGGGATTGGAAATTAGATACATAAGTAGGGTAGAAATTTTAGCAGGGGGTATACAGAAAGAGTAAGGAAAATCTAAAGCAGGAAAGGGTTAAGATAAACAGGATAGCAAAAGGGAGAAGGTCAGAAAGAGAGTTATGATATAAAGTTTGTGTTGAGATAGGGTTAAACAATGTTAAAGGAGAAATGAAAAGAAAATGAACACTAATTCCAATGTAAAATAAAGAGAAAATAAAATGGTACTTAAAAAAATTAAAATAGCAGTAGTAATAATGCTGATGGAACCTAAAAATGTAATAATTAAAAAGTTAAAATCAAGTGAGGAAAAAAATCATTTCTTAAATAAAAGATGCAAAAAGTGAAAATAAAATAAAAAATAAAAGATTTAGCAAAAAAAGTGTGCAGTTGTGAAGGCCATTCACTTCTTCTCTTATTCTGTTGGGCATGCCTGTTTCAGACAGTATTGCAGTACCCTGTGTTCCGCTGCACCTCTGTGTTGTAAACTAGTCCTTGATTTTAAGATGGCGATTCCTTAGTTTCTTGGTTTTTGATCAAATAAAACTAGTAATAAACACAGTCAGTTTGTACTCCAGACCCTAGGTGGCAGTGTTTCTGGATTGATGTCCCCGTCTTTTTGGCTACTCTAGCCTTCTTTTTCTATGGCACTCAATACCATTTTCAGAAAAGCAGTTTCCCCCTGCTGTTCCTTAGGGCCAGCCAATCTGGGTGATCTCTCCTTTGTAATCAGAAGCAAAGGGTTGCAGGGGAACCAGCCTAGGTGCGCAATGGGCCAGTCTGTGTGCACTTACAAACAGATTACTTTCCAACTCCTTTGTTCTCCCTCCGTGTTGGATCAGAATAGGTTGCTCCCTAGAGAACCCCACTATTAGCAACCTTGGGGACCCCCGTCCACTCTCTTAAATCACGCCAGACCCAACAGCTGGGGACTTTTGTGGACACAGATTTCCGCCGTCTCAGTGTGCACTTTTGCCTCTGCCACCACAGAGGCCGCAGCTTCTGCTGCTGCAGCTTTTGCTGTTGGGACACAGACACCCCACGTTATCCCCGGCAAAATCCAACCTTTCTGTGGAATCCGCGTGTCCGCACCACAGTTGTGGTATTTTCAGGTCTCAGGTAAGATCCCCAGTTGCAGCACTGATGTGGTTGTGAGAGGCAGCATGTACAAGTGTTTACCTTGCCGCCATCTTCCAGGAAGTCTGACAGTTCTGGCAGCTAGAAGACAGAGATGAGGGTACTAGCCTGGTCTGGTGAGGGCCGCCTTCTCTCATTTTCATTCTTTAAAATAGCAAAAGTTTTAAATTTAATGAAATCCACGGTTCACTTTCTTTTTTTTATAGATCATGATTTTGGTGTTGTACTTAGGAAATATTTACCTAACAAAATTCATGAAGATTTTCTCTTTATTTTTTCTCCTAAAAATTTTTATAGTTTTAGGTTTTGCATTTAGGCTTATGTTCAGTTTGAACTGAATTTTATATGATTAAAGAGGTATGGAAACAATGGCTTTTTCTTTTGCATAAGAATATTCAGTTCTTCAAGTGCCATTGCTTTTTAAGCTTCTTTAAGCCCAATTAGAATAATCACCAGTACTGAGGCAATACTCTTGAGAAACTACACAACTCACCATGAATTATGAGATTTTTCACCTGAAGTGGTGGAAACACAAACTATTCCTGTTTCTATGTGAGCCCAGAGGATTGCTCCTTTTCTTCATTTGCAACCTCTCTCTCTCCCTCCCACCTTGCCCCTGGCTCAGGTGATTTCCTTACTTGCACTCAATAATCCATCTTCTGCTTAAGAGTCAAGAGGGACCCTGCACAGTCTTAGGAGCTCTCTGTGTGCAGCTCTTTCCACTTTCTCCTTTTTTGGCTTGTGAATTCTAGCTGCCTTTCCCTTCCTAGTCTCCCTATCCTATTACCTCAAATCAGGGAAACTTCTGGTTTTGCCTGCATTTTTCTTGCTGTGCTACAGATTGAAAATTCTCACTAGGCAATAAAAAGGGTCAAATATAGGTCTCATCTTTTTTATTCCCTTCTCTAAGAGATCACTGTCCTGAATTGACATATTAAATGTCTAAAAATCACAGTTTCATTTTTGTCAGGATTTCTAGTTATTTCAGGTGGGAGGGTAAATTCAGTGTGTTACTCCACCTCTGCCAGAATTGGAAATATGTCTTTATTATTTGTAATTGCATATCTCACATTTGTTTTATTTCCTCAAGTTACTCTTTCATTTCACCAATCTTTTTTTTTCATCTTTGTCCTGTTTTAGACTTATGAAATCTATTCCTGCAAAGATCTTTATGGATATTCTAAATACTCGGCCAGGGCGAGTCTATTTTGAAGAAGTGGCGTTAAAAGAAGTTTTAAGTTTAAAAATTTGGCTCTCAAATTTCAATCATTGTACTATTGATATTTGGCTCTGTTGACTAATGAGTTTGGCGACCACTGGCTTAGGCATGCATATATATATATATATATATATATATATATATATATATATATATATATGTAAAGTAATTTATTTCAGAAAGGAAGAGAAAGGAAGAGATCGGGCATGTGTCCTTGACCAGAATTGAACCTGGGACCCCTAAGTTGCAGACCAATACTCTGTGTGCTGAGCCAAATCACCAAGGGCTATGCTGTATTTCTTGGAGAGTGACTTTTGTTGATTTGCTGTGATTGCTGACTCTCATGTTTCGTGGTTTATAATCATAGACTTTTATTCTCAGTGCTGATGATTTTCCTGTGAGAATTCTGCATGCCCTTGTTGAAGATACATACATGTGGTTGTTCTTTTTTCTTCTGCTGCTTTTAAAGCAAAACTATTTTTACAATTGCTATTCATGGTATTCAGGAACTTGTAGTTTTTGAACTAAGGATCCTAAAGTTTATTTTTTAAAGGCTTGAGATTCCTTCATTGATGCATTCTTTCCATCAATATATCCTCATTTTTTTCTAGATTCCAAAGTTTTTTGTTGCTGTTTGTCTGGTTTTTTTTTTTTTTCAATCTTGAGACAAACTTTATTTCTTTCCTCCTATGTGCACTTGTAAAAAAAATTTAAACTTGTTGGGATGTCATTGGTTAATAACAATATATAGGTTTCAAATGTATAATTCTATGGTCAGAATTTTTATTATCCATATTTCATGGGTGGTATGGCTCCTGACTGCCAGGTTGAATTAACCTGCTAACCGAGCGGGACCTATAAATACGTCAAACGTAAACAATATCGGGATCGGGTAGGACCTATGAATACGTCCTTGAAATATACCGTATGTTGCGCCCCGAGAGGGACCGGTATATATTTTTTGTAATCTTTTTTTTTTTTTTTTTAATATTTTATTGATTTTTTACAGAGAAGAAGGAAAGGGGAGGGATAGAGTGTTAGAAATATCGATGAGACGAGAGAAAAACATCAATCAGCTGCCTCTTGCACACCCCCCACTGGGGATGTGCCGGCAACCAAGGTTACATGTCCTTGACCGGAATCGAATCCGGGACCTTTAGGTCCGAAGGCCGATGCTCTATCCACTGAGCCAAACCGGTTTCGGCTATTTTTGTAATCTTTATCATTGTTTGTAAAATTTATAATTTTTTAATTCGACGTGTCCATTTTTTTTTGGTAAGTATTCTTTTCTATTTTTTTTTGTAATTTTGTATTTTCCTTTGTGCTTTATATATATGAATAAATGAAAAAAAAAATATATATATTTCATTTATTTTCATTAAGTACAAATAAATAGAAATAATATGAAATTACGTCCTCCGGGCGTGACGTATTGACATGTCCTAGTGAAAGAGTACGCGCCCGTTACAGGTTGCGTCATTAAAAAGGGAACTCCCTGGTTAACAGGTTAAGGTGCTCACTCACAGTTTTCTGACATGCAAAGGTCTTGGACTTGATTTCTTTCTAAGAAAGGGCTATTAACTCTCTAGACCCAAAGTTGAATCACTGCTTAGACAACCCAGGAGGCATTCAGTTTTAGCTCCTGTTTATCCTTCGAACTCTATTTTTTATTTTTACTAGCATCAGGAGAAGTCTTTTGTTGTTTTTAATCTCAGCTATGTATTAAATTTTTATGCTAGTTTTTTTTCAGCACTCTTCCTGGGTGAGGAATGGAAAGGGCAAATATCTTTCCTGCCTACTCTGTAGCAATGCCTAGAAGTCAGTAGGTGTTTTTATTTACCAAGTGTAGCATTTCTTTATCAATAATTACAAAGCTAAAAATTGAGGAATAGAGATAAGAATCAGACATTCAGAATCAAACTTATATTTTGTATTTAAAAGTGACAAGCAAAAAGCAAGGGAAATCTGTGCCTTCTTAACACTCTTCTCACTGAGGAATTGGATATTTGCATTCTTTCTGGATGAGGAATATGGCTAAATAAGGTTATTTATTAGCATCTTTATTCAGTGACCCTTGACATTATTTTCTTTATTGATAACCAGTCTTGTAAAGAGATAATACTGCTTATAAAATGGCCTATTATTCATGCAATAAACACACTTTCTAGAAGTAACTTGAGACATTATTTTTATTTTTTTATTTTTTACTATCCAGATCAAAAGGCAGCATTCAAACTTATAGCACCAGGTAAGTAAATTAGAAAGTTTCTTAATATACATGTTGAAAATTAAAAATAAATTAATTATTCACAAGTCAGTTCTACATTTTGTTTGAACTCCTACAGTTGGTGAAGTAATGCCCTGAAACTAGAGTACTAATGTATAAGATTTTACTTTCAGGTAAATTAGTCTTTTATTCATTTGGAAGTCTACTTTGAAGAAACAAGGAATAAAATAGCTTACTCTAATAAGAGATTGATATGTATAATTAATAAAAAAGGATGTGTAGTCATAACTTGGAAATATTGCAGGTTTGGTTTTGATCATTGCAATAAAGCATTACAATAAGGTGAATTTTTTGGTTTCCTAGGGCCCATAAAAGTTATGTTTACATTTATTATAATCTATTAAGTGTGCTGCAGCACTATGTTTTAAAAACCAATGTACATATTTAAAATTCTTTCTTGCTAAAAATTGCTCTCCATCATATGAGCATTCAGTGAGTCATGATCGTTTTGCTGGTAGAGGGTTTTGTTTTAGTGTTGATGGCTACTGACTGCTCGGGGGAGGAGGGGTGGTGGCTGCTGAAGGCGGGAGTGGCTGTGGCAATTCCTTAAAATGAGACAACAATGAAGTTTGACTCATCAGTAGACTCTCTTTCCCCCCACAAATGATTTCTCTGTAACATGTGAGGCTTTTTGATAGCATTTACCCACAGTCCTTTCAATCCCTACCACTGCTTTATCAATTTAGTTTGTTATAATTTAAATCTCTTGTCACTTCAACAATCTTTACAGCATCTTCATCAGAAGTAGATTCCCTCTCAAGAAATCACTTTCTTTGCTTAGCCCTAAGAAGCAACTCCTCATCTGCTCAAGTTGTATCATGAAATGGCAGCAGTTCAGTCACATCTTCAGGCCCCACTTCTAATTCTACTTCTCCTGCCATTTCCACCACACCTGCAGTGCTTCCTCAGCTGAAGTCATCCTTTGCAGAAGGTTTTCCGTTTGCTTTGCACAGACCCATCAGAGGAATCACTATCTATGGCAGCTATCTATAGCTTTACATAATCTATTTCTTAAATATTAAGACTTGAATATTAAAATTGCTCCTTGATCTGTGAGCTGCAGAAGGGATGTAGTGTGTGCAGGCATAAAACCAACACTAATCTCATTGTCAGAGTTCTTTATCAGCATTCTTAAGTAACCAGGTATATCATCAAGAGCAGTAATATTTTGAAGAACATTTTCCCTGAACAATAAGTTTCAACACTGGGCTCGAAATATTTATTGAACCAAGTTATAAACAGATGTGGTGTCATCTAAACTTTGTTGTTACATTTATGTTACATTTATACAGTGAAGGCAAAGTAGACTTAACATAATTCTTAAAAGGTCTGGTTTTTTTTTTTTTCAATGGTGAGCGTTGGCTTCAACTTGTTACCAGCTACCTTAGCCCCTAATAAGAGAGCCTATTTTTGAAGCTTTGAAATTAGGCAATGACTTTTCCTCTCTAGCTATGAAAGTCTTAGATGACATCTTTTAATATAAGTCTGTTTTTCTACACTGATTATATTGTTTAGTGTAGCCACCTTCATCAATTATCTTAGCTAGATCTTCTATAACTTGCTACAGCATGTATGTCAGCACTTGCTGCTTCACCTTGTACTTTTAGGCTTCATTCCTTAAACCTCACAAACCTACTTCTATTGGCTTCTAACTTCTTGTTTAATGGATTCTGTTCCTTTATTGATCTCTATGAAAATCCTAAGCATTCTTTTGCCGTTTTTCTGTTACCTGTAATTCTTGGTGTATGCATTCTTTAGTTTGCTCTGGCTTTGGACATTGCCTCTTAATGGCTTTTTTTTTCATTGATTGTAAAGCCATCTTAAGCAGCCAGAATTATTTCATGAGAATTCTTTATATTCTCTTTGTAGAATCCTCTGTGTGGAGATTATTTCATGTTTTATCTTCTTAAGCCATACATTTTTACAGCATTTGTTAGACCTGCAGATAGAGAATTCAATGGAAGCATGAATTGGTATCCAGAACCTATACTTGTTAAAGACTTAAGGCTCCTGATTCTCTGTGTGATATTTTTGTTATCCATATTCTTAAACCACATTTTAAAAATCAATTAGGACTCTGTGTCTCTAGGTGATCCTTTTCCATCTACACTTCTAAAGAAATCTCCCTGCCACATCCTAAAGACTAATGGTGGAAGCTTTTACCATCCTTGTCTCATGGATGGAAAGGCTTTTCATGGCTCTCAAGTTTGGAGAAGAAGGTTAGTTGCGGCTTTCCAGGAGGTCTCCGCTCATAACTTGATGTGTTGAATAGATTGATGGAACTCTGGAGTCATCCTGCTTTCATTCCGACTTACCTTTTGTTCTTTCAAACTATATTAAAAATGTCCCTTTCTTTTTAGAATTTTGGTTGGTATTTTGTGATATTTTTTTCAACTTATCTGTATATGTGGGGTTGGACGGGTACATAACCCTGTCAGCCCAGTGTGTCTAATTGTCTAGAAGTCAGTGAAAGTTTTAAATCATGACCTGTAATAATTTGTTTATCAGTAGATAAAACATTAGGTTGGATCCTGAAGGCTGGAATCAGGCATTCAAGATCAAGCATATAGTAGTGATCAGGAGAAAAATAAACGTGTTTATTTCTTCCTTTTCCTAGTTGGGGATTTGAATTTGATATTTATTATTATCTTTTATATATTATATTATTTTCTAAACTTACATTTTTTTTTTTTACTAATTGAGAGTGCTATTTATTTGCATACCCTAATTTTGTAATCACTTGATGTTATTCATTAGTGTTGATTAGTGCTCTAAAAAAGTTAATTTAGGTTATAGAATGGTCTGACTTTCACTTTTTAACAAAGGCAGATTTTTAAAAGAATGAACTTAGAACCATTGTTTTCACTCTCATTTAGGTCCAGATCAGAAAGCAGCAGGGAAACAGATATTTCCAAGTAAGTAAATTAGGGATTAGTTCTTAAAACAAGTGTATTTAAAAATAAGATTAACCAATTGATAATCAACAATTAATTCCTAAGTATTAATTGATCAGTAAAAATTGGTACAGTACCATACCAAAAAAAGAACCTATTTGTATTTCTCAATCTAGTAGCTAGTGAATATTTACCTAAATAAATGTCTTCATTCCTCCAGTTTGTTAATGGATATAGAGAGTTCACTTTTGGATGATTGATAATGTTTATGGAGCTAACTCATAAATGGGGAAGTTTACTTCTTCATTTGGAGACTCTTCAACTAGAAACTCAGTGTGTATACTCATGCATAGCTGAGTGAATGCTTGCTTACCATGGTCACTTAAAAATTTGCTGAAGAAAAATATCATAAAGGAACAATAATTCTATTTCTCCCATTGCCTCTCAGTATTACAAAGTAGTTATAATTAGATCCCCCTCCATTACCCAAAAGGTGGATATCTCTGTGTAATAATACAATAAGTGTTTAATTTCTTACATCCAAAATTTTGGGTTTGGGGATCCTTCAGCAGATATAAAGTATTTGGAAGTTTTCACTCCTCTCCCTCTGATTTAAAAATTCTTTATTTACTTGGATAGTGGCTGTTGTTTTATACCTTTTAGATTCTTCCAAAGCCCACTGCTATTCCAAGACACATCCAAATCTACAGAATAAACGTTTTAGGCTGCACATTGGTTATATAATTCTTCTTATTCCAGAAAAGGTTTCTTTTCATAGCAATGACTGCTATTCCTGTTTTTTACTTCTCATTATTACTATGATCATCTTCTTGTGGTGATACTTTGCGGTCACGAGTTACTATTAGCAAACTACAAAACAATTTTCATTATTATGTCCTCTCTGTGCTGTGGAGCTATTACGGTGCTCAAACTCAGCAGTAAGGTCTCAGTTAACTTTTTCCTCACCTTGGACTTATGACTTATCAAACCCTGCCATTTTAGAGGATAAAGGCCATTTTTAGTTTGGTCAGCATTGTATAGCCAACATGTAGCTGAGTTCTTGGTTAATAGTATGTGCTTAATAAATATTTTGTACTGTGTGGGTCCACATGTATATGGATTTTTTTTCAATAAACACATAGGACATTTTACATTTATTTTCCCTTCCTTATAATGCTTTCTTAATAACAGTTTCTTTCCTCTGGCTTCTTATTAGAATATAGTATATAACATATATCACTACAAAATGCTTATTAATCAACTATTAATGTAATGAGGTTTCTGATTAACAGTAGGCTATTAGTAGTTATTTGCAGGCCTAAGCCATCAGTAGGACATCCCCTGAGGACTCCCAGTATGTAAGAGGAGGCAGGCTGGGCTGAGAAACCCCTCCCCAGTGCATGAATTTCATGCACCAGGCCCCTATTTATTTATAATAACCAAGATTTGAAAGCAGAGCAAGTATCCATCAGTAGGTGAGTGAGTATAAAAACTGTGGTACATTTACACAATGGAATACTACTCGGCTGTAATACAGAAGGAAATCTTACTCTTTTTGACAGTGTGGATGGACCTAGGGATTATATGCTAAATTAAATCAGCTAGTCAGAGAAAGACAAATACCATACGATTTAACTTATATGTGAAATTGGATGAACAAAATAACAAACAAAATAGAATCAGATTCGTAAGTAGGGAGAACAAACTGATAGCCATCAGAGGAGAAGATGGTAGGGGTCTGAGCAAAAGATAAAGGAATTAAGCAAAAAACAAACAAACCCAAACCCTTAAAATACAACCATATAGACACAGACAAAAATATGTTGATTATCAGAGTAAATGGGGTTAGGGGAAGGTCAAGGCTGGTAAAGGCGAGATAAATGATGATGGAAGGATGCGAAAGATAAAACTATACTATTACTGAAGTTTATAACTAACTATATTATCTTCTCTGTCAATTAACCTCACTTAGTTTGTCTTCATTGTATTCTTTTACTTTTTTATTTTTTGTTGTTGAGGCCTCTGACATAAATATATGATTATAAAAATAGAAAAGAGACCCAATAGTTTGATTTCAACACTTGATAATAATTTGTATAAAATATAAATTTGGCTAATAATAGTTACCTTTCTCCAAAATTTTGAAAGAGGAAGAAACTTTTATAAAATTATAAGATTGTATTATTTCCTTGTTTATTTATTAGGTCTAGTAATAATTAATGTCGTTTCTAATACTTTTTTAAATCGAATTTATTTAAACAATACAACAAAATTTAATCAACAGTCTTTCTCTGACTAGCTGATTTAATTTAGCATTTGCCGTTGTTTTCTACTTCTTGTGCCCAACGCTCAGGAAGCATTTTAATCCCTCTGTTGTAAAATTCTTGTGATTTTGATGCAAAAAATTCGGTCAATGCATTTTTGAGGCATTCTTCATTATTAAATTTTTTTCCAAGAAGAAAGTTTTGCAAAGAACGAAACAAATGGTAATCGGAAGGGGCAATATCAGGAGAATATGCAGGTTGAGGAAGAACTTCCCATTCCAACTGGCGCAGTTTTTCAGCAGTGATTCTTGCAGTATGAGGTCGTGCGTTATCGTAGTGAAGAATTACGCCCTTCCGATTAATCAGCGTGGGTTCTTTTTCTTTTAAAGCTTGGGCTAACCTTTCCAATTGGGCACTATACACTGCACTTGTAATGGTTTGGTTAGATGGTAAAAGTTCATAATGAAGAATTCCTTTAAAATTCCACCAAACACACAACATCACTTTTTTCGCATGCAAGTCAGGTTTTGGCGTGGGCTGCGGAGCCTCATTTTTGTCCAACCATTGAGGCCGCCTTTTCAAATTAACATACAGCACCCATTCTTCATCTCCGGTAACAATTTGCTCTAAAAATGGCAAACGGTTTTGACGAGAGAGGAGCAAACTGCAAATTGTGACTCTTTGATTTCGGTTGTTGTCGGTCAACTCATGAGGAACCCATTTTCCCAACTTTTGGACTTTGCCAAGTGCACGCAATCGATTGGAAATTGTTTTTTGTGAACAATTTAAAGTTGTCGCAAGCTCTTGTTGGGTAATTTGAGGATTTTGCACCAAAAGAGCTTGAAGAGCTTCTTGATCAAAATTGGACACACGGCCTCAACCACTCTTGTCATCTAACGAAAAATTTCCCTCGCGAAATTTCTCAAACCAACGTTGGCATTTTCTGGCACTAACTGCATCTTGACCAAGAGCACTACAGATGTTTTTTGCAGCCTCACTTGCTTTTCTTCCTAATTGGAACTTGTAAAGCATGCAGTGCCGAATATGCTCTTCATCCACCATCTTCTTAGCCCTAGTTTTGCAACAAAAACCAAACCAAACACAAACTTTTTCAAGCAAAACTTGTTAATTGCACTTCACACGTTCTGTAGATACCACGTGTTTGAAGGTTATGTCAATACAAGTCAACGCCAAGCAGGATTTTAAACGAATGTTTAAAAACGACATTAATTATTACTAGACCCGATAACTCTGAATCACAGGAAACCACCCAATCATAAAACACTAGGTGAGTACATTAAGAGATGTCTCAAAGTAAATGTTTGAAATTACAACGAAATTCATAATCCACAACTAATTAAGTTATTTATTGGGTAGATGAATTGGTAAATAGATTATTTAAAAATAATCTATTAATTTTTACTAACCCTTGAATGGGCATTTAAGTCACTTAGTCTTTTTTTTTTTTTTTTAGTTTCTTAAAATTCTTTTTTTTTTTTTTAATTGTTTAAAGTATTACATATAGTAGTAAGTTATTTTGGAAGTTGTTGCTGAGGAGAGAATAGAATCAAACTATTGAATTTAGTAAGACATAAGATATATAAATTAGCCTGTAAAATTAATCAGGGCCACTTTATTCATTAGGCACTATAACCACAATGCATAAGGCCTATGAGTTTCCAAGTTCCAAAAACATTGTTTATAACATGAAAAACAAAAATGATTGCTTAAAGATATGAGAAAGTAAAATTAACCCGTATCTAAATTTCTAAAAAATGAAAGATTAACAGAATATTAATGAATTAATGGAATGTTAATTCATGAATATTTCATTATAAGTGGGGAAAAAATGTTGGATTTTCTTATTTGCAAATACTTCTATATAGTTAAATATGACCTTTCCTAAAAAGTCTCAGAAAATTGTAGAACAAGTTATAGCCAAGTATTAGTATCACAAGCAAAATTACAAAAATTCTAAAGTTCTTTTTTTCTGCCATATAATTTTTTTTACTTGCCAATACTCCAACTGTTTGTATGTTTTACAGTGCAAGGGAATTTATTTGCTGTCAGTACTTTGAGTATATGTGTCTTTGTTCTCTTCCACAGTAACTAGTGATTTCTTCAGAAGTGAATGGATAATACTGAATGTCTCACTGAGAAATAAAAATTCTACCTTCCCTCGCCTAGTCACAGCTGAAGGAAACAATAAACTAAGTGTGGACCAATTTTCCTGCCTGTCTGTTTTCCTCTCTTCCTCCACCTGCACTTCAGTCATTTCATGGCCCTTAACTGAATATAGTCATTTCGACATGGCATTCCCATCTACATCAGTTACCTGAACTCTTCTCCACAGCTCTCCCACCACCCACTTGGATTTACTGCCTGAAGCCCCAATGCTGGGGATTGGCACCAACTGCTCTTATCCAGGAAGGGCTCAGGATGGTGGGCTATGTTCCTCCTCCTGGTCCTTCTCATCTGATTTGGCTGCAGCATGCAGGCCTCAGTAAATCCAGATTTTGCCCATCTCACATCCTCCTCCCCAAGCCAGGCTTCTGAGAGAGTCTGTGTTCACTTTGGAGGCTGTACTTTAACACCCAGGCCCTTGCTTTACCCACCACCTTTCTCTTGCTCCTCTGCTATGAGACCCACAGGGCAAATTGGTTCATTTGCCTGTGTGCAGTGAAGCCCAAATGAAACACAAACAAAGGTTTGCAGCAAAGAAAGTAAAAGTTTATTTAAGGAATGACGCCAAGCCACAGAGACAGGTCTAAGACCTGGTTCCCCAATGGTCTCTAGAGAAAGGTTTTTTAGGGGAAAAAATCAGTTATCGTGACTAAGGGGTTGTGAGCTCTACTGATCGGTTGGGGCCAGGTTAGGGATAGCTCATAATTGCATCTGGTCCATGAACTGGTTTCATGAGGGTATGGTAAGTAGGGCCATTCAGCTTTCATAGGCATGGGACTAAAACAAAACAATTGAAGATATTATCTTTAGTTTGAGCAAAACAATGTTCCCTTGATTAGCAGATCTGAGGCTTTATTCTTAACACAGTTTGAATTGACCAGAACCTCACATCCTAAGAGAGATGCAGGCCAAAGTTAGCCACTGCCTGTGTTCTGCACAGGGCCACCCAGCCTCAGCTGCAAAGAGATCTGCAGCTGAATGTACTTGGGCTAAGCTTAGAGGTACCCAGGAGAGGCCTAGCTGTGAACAGTAGTTGGCTGATGCTTATGCCGGGCCTGGAGCCACTTCATGAAAGGTATGAGCAAGCTGAGGCTCGTTGTTATTTGTTTAAAAGACTTTAGAAGAACATAAGTTTTATATAATAATTTTATCTACTTTATCCATTTATAGCGCACTGTTCTTCAAACGGTCATGAACCAGCTTTATCATCACACTGATTCTCTGAATAATAATGAGTGTAACATTTGATATATACCCATTATACATTTACTGTATATGAGATTCTTATTTTTAACATTTTGGAAATTACACTATCATTCTTCCAGTGAATAGCGAAATTACATTTCCAGGAAGGTCAAGGGTGAGCAAGCAACATGCTTTCAAGTGAGGTGCATGATGAGCTGATGGGTAGGTATGAGCAATAAATAAACAGTTATCAGGCAACTTTATCTGAAAACATAATGATGAATAGTAGGCACATAGGCAGCCACTCCTCATTATCGGTACAAAGGCCTGAAGTTTCAAGGATTCATATGGGAAGGTAAGCTTCAGCTAGTTCTGTAAAAAGAGTTTTCCAAAAATTGGTACTATCAAAGAAAACTAGATAAGGAAAAAAGACTGAATAAAGTGATTACAGTGGAAAAGATGTCACTGCCATCAAAAGAACCATTTAACTATATTGTGACATTTTAAGCATGTTATAAAATATGTATATATTGTAATCTATCATCTATGTATCTCAGGGCTTTCCAGCCTTTAGCATGGATAAAAATCATCACCTGGGATGCCTCATTCCCAGAGATTCTCATTCTGTAGGTTTGGGGTGGGGCCTGAGATTCAGCATTTCTGCAAGCTCCTTGGTGATGCTGGACCACCCTTTGAGTAGGCCTACTGTAGTTAGTTGTCTTTTAGCCAATTGATCAGAGGCTAGAAGCTCTGAGTTGATGCTTATTGTACAACTTTTCTCACTTAACATACTGGGAAATAACTTTTCATTAGTGTTTTCATCTGTCATATCTAATTATAGGAATATACTATCAATGTCAAATTGGGATGCCATTCCCCCTCTAGATTCCAAATTCAATAGCAAGATTGATAAAAGAGGCAGACTAATGTAGAACAAATAATCATTTTTTATTACTGGTTTAGCTGAGATGAGAATAAGGCTGAGGATATTACTGACTAAGCTGAAATGGAACATAAAGCTGAGAAATGAAGCTTCTCATAATTTGCCCCCATATTAAACATACACATTTATGCATGCCTTATGAAGGTACAGAAAGGAATTTTGGGCAATTACTAGGAATAATTCCCTTCTATTTATAAAAATTCTCTTCTCTTCCCTCCTCCAATATTAATAGATTCTTTTTATGAGGCAAAGAGGAAAAGTTCAGATTCAGAACATGAGAGATAACCATCAAGCAGCGGGCTTTCCAACAATTTTTATTTGTTAAGATATCATTGAATAATAATTACCCAAATTCATTTCTCAACTTTTTGCTTATATAGTAGTTTCCCCCTTTGTTTAAAAAGTCCCAGCAGAATTTGAGACCTTTTTCTGTTCTCCCCTCCTCCTCATCGTTCTCATTTCACAACCATTTTGGGAAGGAACATAATTTATTTATACTTAAATTTCCTGTTCACAACCTAATATGTACTTTTATACTCACCTAGTAGTGAATGCCTTTTTTATTTTTTATTTAATTTATTTGGAGTAACATCTCTCTCTATATAAAAGCCTAACATGCAAAGTGTCCCTTTGGGAGTTCAACCGACTGGGAGTTCAATTGCTCACTATGATGTGCACTAGGAGATGGCATGGAATGAAGGAAGGCCTTGGCTGGCAGCTGGCAGCTGGGGAAGGGAGTCCCGGCTGGCAGATGGCATAAATTTTATGCACTGGGCCTCTAATTGATTAAGATCATATAAGTTTCAAGTGTACATTTCTATGATACATGATCTGTATACTGCATTGTGTGCCTATCACTCAAAGTCCAGTCATTATACATCACCGTATATTGGCCTCCTTTACCCTTTACTTCCCTCCACCATCTCTTCCCTCTGGTAACCACCATACTGTTGTCTGTGTTTATGGGTTTCAGTTTTATATCCCACATATGAATGAAATCGTATGGTTCTTAGCTCTTTCTGACTGACTTATTTCACTTAGCATGGTATTCTCAAGATCCATTCACATAGTTGCAAATGGAGTTATTTCATCTTTTTTATGGTTGAGTAGTATTCCACTGTATGTATGTACTACATCTTCTTTAGCCAATCATCTAAGAAGGGCACTTTGGTTGTTTCCATGTCTTGGCCACCGTGAATAATGCTGAAATGAACATAGGAGCAAATAGCTTTGCAAATAAATGTTTTCAGGTAAATAACCCAAAGAGGGATTGCTAGGTAGGTCATAGGGTAGCTCTATTCTTAATTTTTTGAGGAACTTCCATACTGTTTTTCTTGGAAGCAGTACCAGTTTGTTTTCCTAGCAGAAAACAATTACTTTATCAATGAATAAGAATTACTTTATCAATGAATGCCTTCTTATTTTAGGCCTATATTGTCCAATATGGAAGCCTTTACGAAATATGGCCATTAAGCACTTGAAATGTGGCTAGTCTGATTGAGACTAGTATCAAATACACACCAAACTTTGAAAATTTAGAACAAAAAGGAATGTAAGATGTCAATAATGCTTTGCATTGATTACATGTTGAAATATTTCATTATTTTTTTCATTTCATTTCTTTTGATTTTTTTTTAAATGTGGCTGTTAGAAAACTTAACATTGAATCTGTGGCTTCTATTTTGTGCCTTTTGACAGGATTAATTTATATCCTAGATGACTGATAATGTTATCTATTATTAAATCCAATTACAACTTCATTCTCATTCAAGGCACAAAAAAGTGAGGTTCCTCTAGCTATTCAGAGAACTATTACAAAGTAAATAGATCTTAAAAATTCCAATGGTAAAGAGAATGTGTAAAGACAACATCACGCCTCTTGAGTTTTAAAATACAATCTCTTGTAGGAATGCCCAAGCTTTGGGTCCTGTGTCTTTTAATGACAATGTGGTAAGTGTATCTTCCCTAAAGTAAGCGTTTTTATATATGAGTGTGTGTGTTTTTGTTGTTGTTGTTGTTGTTTTCTTTTGTAACTAAAATATTTGCCTGTTACTGAGAAGTTTCACAGGGTTCCTGAGCATATTCTACTCAATTATTCTTTATCTACTAGAAACAAATGGATAGTATGTTCTTTAAGGCAGAATAGAGTCTTAAATCTGCCATTTTCCAAGGCAAAATAAACACAAGCTGGTGTTTGGCATATCAATCTAGGACAGGTGAAATGATAAGAACCCTAGGCTGACAGATAAGGAGGCATTTATAATGTAGAGATCACCATTAATCACATTTAAACTGGTTGCTGTTTAATATATTTGCTTTGTTGCTAGCTTTATTTAATTTCCAGCTGCATGACTTCTCCATTTGTGTTAACTCTCTATACAGTATTCAGAATAAAATTTCCCATTTTAGTATGATCTAGTATACACTAATAAGGTCAATTCACCCCATCCTAAATAGATCTAGGCCTAAGACTGATACTCCTGACTCTCACAAGTTTTGACCCTAAAATGATATATTTTGTTGTTATGTTCATTAATTCCTTCCTCCATATTCTCCATTCTGCTGTTGGACTCATCCAGTGAAGTTTTTCTTTAATTTTGTTAATATATATATATATATATATATATATATATATATATATATATATATATATATATATATATTTTTAGTTCAAAACTTTCCATTTAGTTCTTCTTTGTAGCTTTTATTTTTTTGCTGAGACTTTCTATTTTGTTTTCAATTGGTTTCAAGTGGCTCTTAATTTCCCATTGACGCTTTTTGTAATAGCTTTCTTAAAATCTTCAGCAGATTAATCCTACATCTCTCCATGTCATCTTGTGGCGGCTTATTGTCTTTTTTTGTTCAGTTCAAGATTTTCTTAAATTTGGTTTGACATTTGGATTTTATCTTATGAGACACTTAAGTTTCCTACAGCACCTCCAGTGGCATTGTGGGTAGGTATGAAACTTGCATCTTCCTACTTAGTCTTCTCTGAGACCACCCTGATACTTGGGGGAGAATGGTTTCTTGTTATCGCCATCAGGGTGGAAATCTAGGCTCTCTACTCTGCCTCTGCTGATGGGGTTGTGTTTTTTCCTGTGGCTCCTGGGGAAATTGTCAAAGTCTACTGTCTTGTTAGATTGTTCCTGTTGTGGTCCTTTGGCTAGGGAAAGGAGGCTTTTCTTGGAGCTTATGATTATTTTTTGTCTGCTCCTGTTGGTGTTTCCAAGTCGTTGGCTTCTCTAGCACCCAGCGTGGGATATATGAGGCAAAAGAAAACTCAAGGAGTTCACTGCCATTTTGTGACCTAAAGAAGTAAAAATTTTTTCTTTATTTTTATTTTTTAAGTGTTTAATAAATATTTATTGTTCAGATTATTACAAATGTTCCTCTTCCCCCTCCTCAATTGTTCCCCTCAACCAGGTTCCCACCCCACCCTCTGCCCTTTCCCTACCCCCCATTGTCCTCATCCATAGGTGCACAGTTTTTGTTCAGTCTCTTCCCGCACCCCCCACTCCCCTTTCCCCCCAAGAATTATCAATCCACTCCACTTCCATACCTCTGATTCTATTATATTCACCAGTTAATATTGTTCATCAGGTTTTTTAAATTCCCTTGGCTTTTAGTTTCATTTGTTGATAGTTACATATTTGTTGATCATAATTTTTATCTTTATCTTAAAGAAGTAAAATTATTATTACCACACTGTGCATAATTACACAGTGTGGTAATAATAATGGGATATTAAATGAGTTATATATATTTGACATGTCTATACTTGAACAGGGATTATACGGGGTTTCTTGCATGCAACAGCTGTCCAATAATGGCACATCCAACAATTCAATTTATAAAAGTCACAGAGTTTGCAACGGTTTTTGCAAATATGTGCATTTTGCCTGTTTGGACAGTCTAAAAATATAATAGGTGGAAATTTGTTTGCTATGAGTAATTTGAGCATTTTAAAAAATCTTTATTCCTCCTCCTCACTGTAACTAGAAATTACTTCAAAAATCGTGGACCTAAATAAACTATACAAACACAAGCCTCAGTAAGCACCACCCCAATCTGAGAATTAGGAACCACCCAGCTTTTCCTTCCTTAACAATACACTGAATGTGAGTGAATGTTGACAGTCTTCCCTGAGCCCCACCTGCCCACAGGCTTTATGCCAACTCACCTCCAAAGGAAAAAAAAAAGTTATATATATTGTTGTTGATAGTATTACAGATGTCTCCCATTTCATATTTCCTCCCTCCCTCTCACCAACCTCCCCCCATCCCCGGCCCCTCCCCCTGCCCGCTTTTTCCTTCTCCCATGGAGACACTCCAGCTCTCCCTCCCCCCGCCCCCCCCCCCCCCCTTCCCCGTCCAGTTTCCCTGGGTCTCCTGGTTCTGCACGAGCTGCCCCTTTACTGGCCTCAACGCCTCAACGCCTCAACGGCTGTTATTCGGCCAGCGGGACTCCCAGAGAACGGAGCCATGTTCTCTCTTCTGGTCCTTTTCATGGGACTCGGTGGTCTGCAGGCAGGCCTCAGTAAGTTCAGACCCGTGTTCATCCCCCACCCAAGCTTTTGAGGGGACTTGGTTTGCTTAGGGGGCCTGTACGTTTTTGGGTCCAGCTTCTGCGCCCAGACCTTACCCAGGCCCCTCTCTTGCCCCGCCCATTTTCTCCTTGCCCTTTGCTTCAGGGCCTAGAGGCAAAAAGGCAAAGAGCCAGCCTCCGGGCAGAAAACCCTTCACTTCTCTGGAGTGGGTTTCCTTTTCTGTAAAATGGACAAAAGTGAAATATGTGGTCTTTTCCACATTCAAAATTCTGCTATTGTTGAAATGATTGCATCACCATAAAGAAGGTATTTAATCTAGGGTTTTTTCTGTCTGACCGCTGTCCTCAGCCTGCTCCACTGAAGATTGTGGGTCACCCTTGCATTCAATATTTTCCCTGCAAATGATCCTGTTTCTCCACTTCCACGCTTTTTTTTTTTGCAACACTGTAACACTGTATTTGTTACTCAGTGTTGCTTAGTCAAAATTTTCAAACTGCTCAACTAGGGGTGTGTGTGTGTGTGTATAGAGAGACAAAGATAAAATAAAAACTTGAGATCTTGGCAAGAGTTAAGAAATTTGTAGGTAAGAGTGACCAGAAAGACAATGGAAAGGAAAAGTAGATGCACAGATTGTACAATAATTTTTTGATAATGTAGAGAAACAAATAGAGAACTGGATTTTAGAAATTGATAATGTAAAATCAGGTACCAAAGTAACTTCGCTTATTTTTATTTTAGATCCTCATAAAACATTTCTGCAGAACACGGTTCCTGAAAAGATTTCATCCTCTGACACAAAAAGAGATCCAGATAATAATGTAATGGGAAATAATATTTTTATATCTTTAAATTGTGTTGTTTTTAATGTGAAGACCAGCATTGCGGAACAAAGAGCATTTTTGAAATGTGTATAAGTGTGTGTGACTCCATATGTTTGCGTGTTGCTGCTGAGGATAAGGATTTTTAAGTCGGGTGTCTTTCTTTAAAATGCTGATATCTTGTTTATCATGTATTTTTTTGCATTAATTTTGATATAAAATATTGTATTCAGATAGTATTGTATTCCCCTAGTCCTGGCCCTGATGATTCCCCTAAGCACAGTAGTCCTCCTCCTATCCCATCTGAAATTCATACCAATCCTCGCCCCTTATTATGACTGACCAACCAATCTTTGAATTCTGCACTTGTCTAATCTCTATTATTGAAAAAGGGACGTTTAATATTGTGGAAATTCAGTGTATTTCTTTTAACTATAACAACTTTAAAATCTCTTAATATTTTTGCAACAGAAAATTATTATTAATGTGGGATGTGATTATATTTTAATATATTCAGTATAATATGAGGTAAGACCTGCAAAAGTAATAGGGCTTAGGGGCCAATTAGAGAGCTCCCAGATATTACAAATGAAACATGGGGCACCCAATTCAATTTGAAATATATATATTTCACACACACACACACACACACACACACACACACACACACACATATATGATAAGATGGGGGGAAAAAAGCATTGCATGTCTCCATACTAATTTTAAATACAGAAAATTATTGTTCAGCAACAATAAATTATAAGTATCTAAATTATATACCTCTCTCTTTCTTGAAATCCATCAGGATAACAAATCACAATGTAGTATATTTTAACATTGTGATTTGTTATCCTGATGGATTTCAGTGTTATAGCATTATTGTTTTAATTTTCATTTCTTAAATAATTGTTAACATAATTTTTTTGGGGAATAATTTATACACAGTGAAAAATAGAGATTTTAAGTGTACAATTCTTTGAGTTTTTACAAATGTACATATTCTTGTAATCAATACTCAAGAGAAATATTATTCCAGATATTTCCATATGTCCACTACCCTAAAGACACTGTTCTGTTCTCTATCACCATAGGTTAGTTTTGTCTATTATGAACAATTTTTGTACACATTGTAAACATCTGTATCATCACCACACATTTCTAGGTACAGAATATCTAGCATTTCAGAAGGAGCCCTCCAGTAGCCTCCCAGTTAGTACCCACTATTCTTATTTCTATCAGCATAGATAAATGATATATGTTCTTGATAATTTATATTCCTTATAAATAGATATACATATCTTAAATAAATATACATATATTTACATATACATGGATATATGTCTATATATGGACTCATATACTATGCAATCTTTTTGTGTAGCCTCTTTTATTTAACCTGTCTTTTTGATTAATATGTGCCATTGCATGTAGTCCAGTTTTTTTCTCTCTTATATAGCTATATAGTATTCCATTGTATGAATATATTATGAATTTATATTCTTTTTACTGTTGCCGAACATTTGGGTTGTTTCCAGTGTGGTAATATTATGAATAAGATGCTCTGATTATTTTTGCATGTCTTTGGTATTTATATCACATGTGTCAAACACAAGGCCCGCGGGCCAAATCCGTCCCGCCAGGCCTTGCAATGTGGCCCGCACCGCGCTGTCATCACTGCACTCCACTGCGTTTCCATCACAATGACAGTTTATGACTGTTCAGTAAAACATTCGGCCCGCGATTTAGGCTGGATTTTAAGATTTTGGCCCCTTCTCTGATTGAGTTCGACACCCTTAATTTATATGGTTACTCATTTCAGTTGGGTGTGTACCCAGAAGTGAAAGTTCAATGTCACAGGATCTTTCTAGCTATCTATTAATAGTTATTATCTTCTAGAGGCCCGGTGCATGAATTCGTGCACCAGTGAGACCCCAAGGGGGGATGGAGTGGGGTAGGCCCTCTAGGCAGGTGGTGGGATGCTCTTTCCAGCCCCAGATTGGATCCATCCCACTGATGTTTGTGCAGGTTGTTGGGAGCTATCGGTGGCTGCTTTTATATCCTTTTTTCTTTGAAAGTCTAGAGAGGGAAAGCACCCTAGGTGCTGGAGAATGACTTCCTGTTCTGTAGCATTACTTATAAATTTTTATTGAATTTTGGTATATTAATTTTGTAGAGCTGACATAACAAAGTAACACAAAAACTGTGGCTTACACAACAGAAATTGAGTCAGTTCTGGAGTCTAGGAGTCCAAAATCAAAGTGTTGGCAACGTTCGTTCTTTCTGCAGATTAAGAGGGAAAGATCTGCTTCAGGCCTCTATCCTTGGCTTGCAGATGGATATGTTCTTCTTATGAATCTTCATGTGGATTTCTGCCTTTAAATATGTCTGTGTCCAAATTTTCTCTCTTGGTAAGGATCACAGTCATATTGGATTAGGGCCTGCACTAATGACCTCATTTTAATTTCATTATCTCTGTAAAGACCCAGTCGGAGTAAGATCACATTCTGAGATCTTGAGGTTAGAAATTTACACATAAAGTTAAGAGGGACGCAATTCAACCCAAACAGCTGAATGTTTGTGCCTGAAAAGTTGTAAAACCTCTGGATGGTGTCTTTTTGGAGTTATTGTTTTTTTTCCCTTCCCATCAGTTTTGTACATTTTTTTGTTAATTACATTCTATGTGTTTTTTTAATTGTAATATATGTAAATTGAAAATTTTAATGGTACTGTCATATGCCCATGTATTTTTCATGTTTGTTTAATATCAAGGGATTTTTAGAGGGCACAATGTTCCATGTCCCATCCAGACTCCTCCTGTTCCAATGAATAGGGAAATTTACTTTCCAGGAGTGCTGGGAGTAGGCAAGCAACAGGTTCTCTCAGTGAGAGGGCACCTTTGGAATTTCCTTAAGCATGGCGAATTGATCTATATAAAAAGATCACAATAACCAGCTAGGCCTTTCCCTCAGATACATTAATTATGGCAGGCAAGTGGGGACACCACCATCTTTTTCTCAATGTAGAACTTTGAAGCTCCAAATATCCATCCACATAGGAAGGGAAGCACATGTAATGATTATATATTATTATTAATTGGGTCAATATTTTAAAAGCATAACTGATAGAAAACATTATTTAACATATTACTTATAATTATTATTGAATGTATTTTGAATTTTCATGTTACAGGTTGCTTATATGATTACAATAAAAGGAAAACCATATTTTGTTTATCTCAAAAAGCAGTAAGTAATTATTTTTTTAAATTTTAACTCTTTGGTTTCTTGATTTTTAAATAATTATGAATAGGATAAATTCAAACCAGATGTATATTTGATATACACATAGGAAAGGAGGGGAAGCATTTGAAACCTATTACATATTCATTATTGGGTAAAGTCTTAGGCATACAAAAGACAAGAAAATATGGTCCACATTTAAAGAATTTATAATGCAGAGTAATATATTCAGACATATTAGTAGAGAAATGAGAAATTTTATTATAATGTGGCATTATGATAAATGTGTAAACAGTAGTCTCTGAAAATCTAGGAAAACTTTTTGGGAATAGGTAAGAGATGACATATCTGGAGGGAAGATACCTTTAGCTCTGTAAAGAAATGGGGTACCATAGAGGGTCACTCTGTTTAGAGGAAATCATATGTAAAACATAGAGGTGTGAGACTTTTTTCCGTGATTTTCAAAACAGTCAATGTGAATTACTAAAGAACATATTTTTTTGGGGGAGGAGTAAAATATTTTGGAAAGGTAGTAGGTAGAACTGATTTGTAGATCTATCATGCCATGGTAAGAATATTGCAAACCAAAATGTTTTCAAGGGTATACTTATGTAGGCTCATTAAGTATTGTAGGCTGATACTGAGGGGGCAAAAGTAGAGTAGGATGTCTAATTATATGATTATATAATAATTTAGGTGAGTGATGATTGGTGGCTTGAATATATAGCATAGGTCATAGTACAGGAAAGAAAACATTCAGTAGGCCTTGAAAACAGATTTGGTAGTATGATTGGGAAAAAGTGAGGAATCTTGGATAATTTAGTTGTTGCTTAAGAAAATGTCACTTACAGTGTAATTAAATGAGGAGTATGAACAAGGGAGATCTTTATGTGAGGAAAAGGTAAGTTTAATTTGCAGTGCCTTTAAGATATCCAAGTGGGTTGTATTCCATAAATACAGGGATGTGGATCTCTAAGAAGAGATTGGTAATTAAGATATAGATTTAGCAATAATATTTTGGCTGTGATTTTAAAAAACGAGAGCTTATAAAGTGCTTATAAATAGATTGGTGACTAAAGACTAAATCCTACTAAAGACCAATATTTTGGGGGCAGGTAGAATAAAACAAGAACAATAATAACAACAAAAAACACCATGAAGACTTATGTCCTAGACCAGGGGTTGACAAACCTTTTCTGTAGAGAGCTTTGGCTAATATGCTGTGTACTCTGTTGGAACTAAGCAATTTTGCACAAAAGCAGCTATACACAATACGCAAACCAATGAGTCCAGCTGTATTTCCAGAAGATATGGCACAGAATGGGATTTGTAGCACAAGTGTAAGGATTTGCTTTGAACCAAAGTAGTCATCTTCTGGAAATAAAGATAAGAGATGAGGATGGGTATAGATTATCTGTAAGTGAGGTGACATGGAGGTTATGTGGGATGATGGACAGGAGTTGTGCCAAGGTTTGAATTGTTACTGAGAAAAATGAAAGAAAATTCTGACCTACTTTGTTGAGAAGAACTTGGTTATGTATGTAACTAAGCTTAGTTAATACGAGTTTGTAGCAATGCAAAGGAAATCTTCCTAAATTGTGTTCTAACCTATATTTTAATTTTGAGATTCAGTTTTAAAATGTGGAATCAATGAGCAATAAAGACAAAGATTTGGAAGTTCTGTGCTGGAAATTGAGACCTATGTTGTTTTATTATTTGATATTTCTAGCAATTTAGGTTGTTCATTAGCACATTATTTTGATATTATTTTTCACTGTAGTTAAAATGCTTCTCTCAGTGTCTAATTTATTGTAAATGATAAAGAAGTATTTGGAAAATAGGCTAGGCCAAGATAATTGGCACTACTTTAAATTTCCCAGTAAAAAAAAAATATTTGTAGTATGAAGAGTAATTATTTCTGTGCTTTCTGTTTCACAACTTGGACATGTTTTTGTGCTTTCTGCCTAGGTCATTTTTATATACGACTTCTGTTGTTTATTCTTATGACAAATATAACATCCAAAAAACTAACAATCTGTATGACCAGGTAAGACTTAAGGTGTTTTTTTCCCCTTACACATTTCTTATTCTGAATTTTCTTTAAAAATATGAATATTCTGAAATTGCTAGAATATAATTTTACATATTCACTAAAATTAATTAAACTAGTTCTTATTTCTACATGGCACAGATTCATTAGGTATAATAAATGCCATACACATTAATGTACTAAGGTAGCTAATATAATACATGTAAATGTCATATATGGGTTTTCCAGGTTTAAAATAAGTTATCCATTTGTTTATCTTTGTGTACTCTTTTTTCCCCCCAGATGGATTGCAATTATTATGGATATATTGCAGGCTTTCCAAATTCTCTTGTATCCCTCAACACTTGCTCAGGACTCAGGTTGTAACCAATGGAGATATATTTCATTTGTTATTATTAGATCCCACTAGTGTATAAGTTGATCCTCCATATGTCTTTTCTGATTCTACAGTCACCTGTGTTATTTCAATTCCCTAAAAAGTGAACAAAAGTTACTGATAAAATAGAGTTGGTCACCCTGACAGCATCTGCTCCTGATGGGCAGCTACTTGTTGATCCTTATAGGATCTGCTGCTTGAGCTTTGAGCAATCTTGAGTGTAGTGGGTATTGATTGGTCTCTCCATACTTCTTTAGTTTTCCCAAATTTTTGTGTTTTCTTAATTCCTAGAATGGGTGATAATTGTAAAAAAAAAACACAAACAAACAAAAAAAAACACCTCAATCTGATAGATACTTTCCCTCAGCTCCAATCATTTTTAAGCTGGTAGTGTCTTCAATACAGCCCACACAAATGATTTAGAAATTAAGTGACAGGCTGAGTTAGGTATCTCAAAAAGAAGGAAGAACCCTGGTTAGTGTTGTTAAGTGGTTAGAGCTTCACTGCACCCAAAAGGTGCAGGTTGGATTCCTGGTAAAAGGCACATACTGCCAAAGCCGGTTTGGCTCAGTGGTAGAGCGTCGGTCTGCGGACTGAAAGGTCCCAGGTTCGATTCTGGTCAAGGGCATGTACATTGGTTGCGGGCATATCCCCGGTAGGGGGTGTGCAAGAGGCAGCTGGTCGATGTTTCTCTCTCATCGACGTTTCTAGCTCTCTATCTCTCTCCCTTCCTCTCTGTAAAAAAATCAATAAAGAATATATTAAAAAAAAAAAAAAGGCACATACCTGGGTTGCAGGTTTGATCCCCTACCCTGGTCAGGGTGCATGTGGGAAGTAATCAATGGATATGTGTCTTTCAGATTAAAGTTTCTCTCTCTCTCTCTCTCTCTCTCAAAAAAAAAAAAAAAAGGGGGGGGGGAGTGGACTAAGAGAGAGAGAGTACCTCTAGCTCCTACAGAGTGACTTAGAAAATCTATACCTTAGGAAAAGGTCTTGTTTAAGCACATGGATCTATGCCAACATAGTTTCTGTAAGATATTTTTGTTAGAATATGTAAAATATAAAGTGATACATATCCTGCTTGTTACCAGTTCTATTCTGGGTAATGCCTCAAAAAACAAAGAGATAAAGTAGGAAAACTAAGATGAATTTAAAGGTAAATCTATTAGTTTATAGTTTTGTTAGGATCATTTTAAATTTGTTTTGATTATTTCACCATTCAGGGGACTCCTGCAGTTGAAAAACATCTCTTATGGAATCGAACCGATAGAGTTCGCATCAGAATTCATGCACCTCATTTTTGAAGACAAAGATTATTACACTAACATTTCTCTCATAGGAATCAGTAACATTTATAATTCCGATTATCAATATAGAAAAAGTTTTGAAGTAAGTATTGACTTTTCAATTTTAATATAGTCTGTATAATTTTGTGAACTGAAAATGAATTTCAGAGTAAAATTTGGTGACTTTCAAATATAAAAGTTATTTTAGTTTTTCATGAGGTTCCTCCATGACTTTTAAAATAAATAGAAATAAATAGAGAATGAAATCTCAGAGGGAAAAGATGGAGGAAATTGGAAGAGATTCACTATGTATACATATATACATAGCCTATGGATACAGACAATAATGTAGTGAATGACTGGAGGGGACTGAGTGGAGGGGGAAAATAGAGGGGAACGGGGGACATCTGTAATAGTGTCAACAATAAAAAATAAGCAGAGAATAAAATTGAATTCTTTGTTATGCTTGTTGTTATATGAAAGTTTAGCAAAAACATAGGAAACAGATATGTGAATATAGGGTTAAAGAAACCAAAAAATGTTTGCATGTGGGCATTTGGACAATTAATGTAAATTATTCCTTTTTTCTCAATTGTCTGACAATTTACATGATATAAATATTATGTTATCTGCCTGGCCAGTTTTTAAAACTAGATTGTTTGCCAAAAGTAGTTTCCTAAAAATTGGTAGCAGAAAATCTTCCCACATGGAAGATTACTATGAAAACTATTACAAGACTAAAGAAAGAAAAGATACATGTTATAAAGTTAGTATTTCTAATTTCAGATATCACTAAAATCAAAAGATACCTAGGTTCTTGTATAGCTTGGGGCCTCATTAAAAATTATTTTACACCACAGACATTTTTTGGATTGGAATTTTCCAAATAGTACCTAAATTTTGTATTTGAAAATACCCTTGTTATATAATCAGTAGCAACATGTTTCTTAGTTTATCTTTGAACATAATTTCAATAGAAAGTAAATTTTTAGAAATTCCTTAGTATTCATGTTGTATGTTTTTCAGAGAGTTGAATTTTTCAAGTTAATTCCTCAATACCTTGAACTATATATTGTTGTGGATAAAAACATGGTAAGTCCTTTTAATATATTGTTATTTTAAAATTATTTAACATTTGTCTTTTACTTGATTTCAATGATATAATAACCCCTTTAAAACTATTTTTTGATGTTCATTTTGCTTTTAGAACAATTGATAAATTTTTTAAATTATAAATTAGTCAAATTTTTGTTAATTAATTTATTTTGTATATATGATCACTAATTGCATTTATAAAGTGAAGCATCTTTTCATTTTCTAAACCTTGTTTGTTATTTTTCCTAATCTATATTTTCACTGAGATTACATTCTCAGTGAAAATATAGATTAGAATATCCCCAAACTCAAATGCAATAATATTTAATTTCCTAAGCCTAATTGGTAGGGTAGTCTGCTGAACACATATAGCACTTCTTCCAAGCAAAGGCAGAAAACAAGCTATCTGCTTTGTTCTCAATTCTTAGTGAATAAAATGACAGAAAAACAAATGAACAAAATTTTCATAATGAGGATTCACGACTATACTTCAAATCTTGCATGGGTTTAAGTTTTGAATTTATACAACATGGGTGGTTAAGGGATTCTAAGCTATACGACTGCATTTGTCCGAGATTGATAAGATCTGAGGGCACCTGATGGAAGCAAATATTATCTCTCCCCGGTAGAATACAACTTTAAATAGGATTCTCACAGATTAATAACAGCAGTGTATTAGCTCAAAATCCATAAAAAAAATTAGCCATAGTGAACAGGATTAAGATTTAGATAGGTTATAAAACAAAAATATTTTCCCTAAAAGAAAGTTGGTTGATTCTCAAAGAAGTAAATATGAGGCAGAGAAGTGTAGATATAATTGTTGGCAGAGGTAACAAAATTTGAAGTGCAATGGCTCACTAAAGAATTGGAGAGCTTTTTATTATAGCTAACTTGACCCAGTATAAAGCCAATACATACACTAAAATCATATTCCTATAAAATTACAAAGCAATTAGAAGTTGGTAATCAGAATTTTAAGCATAGCAAACAAAAGGAAGGCAGTAAAGGAAAATAAACATTATGCACTAAGCATTTGTTTAATAAATATGGAACAAATTTTAAAGCTAAGGTTAAGATAAAAGATTTCAACTCAAATATTTTATTAGACATAGAGAATAAATACTGCAGTTAAAAACAAAAGCTAAAGATTAGTGAAAAGCAAGACAAGTGACAGTATTTTATCTTTTGTTATGGCTGAGTAGTATTCTTTTTATATATGTACCACATCATTATCCAATCATCTATTGAGAACACTTTAGTTATTTTCATGTCTTGGCCACCATGAATAATGCTGCAATGAAAATAGGAGTACATATATCTTTATGAATAAACTAGAGGCCTGGTGCATAAAATTTGTTCATGGTGGAGGAGCGGGACCCTCAGCCCAGCCTACACCCTCTCCAATTCAGGACCTCTTGGGGGATATCTGAGTGCCTCTCACAATCCAGCACCTCTGGCTTCTGACTGCTCACCTGCCTGCCTGCCTGCCTGATTGCCCCTAACCACATCTGCTTGCCTGCCTGATCACCCCTAACTGCTCCCCTGCTGGCCTGATCACCCCTAACTGCCTCTGTATCACCCCACACCTGGGACCAATGATTCACTCCTCCAGCCAGTTTTAGGCACTGCGGACCCACGCTTCCCTCCCTCTGGCCAGCCACAGGCACCCAGGACCCAACTGGCTTTGAGCGGGCTGGCCACAGCCACAGGGGGTCGTGGGCGGACGGCTTTGCACAGGCTACAGTCTCAGGTGCTGGCGCCTGGGTCTGTGGGGTGGATGGCTTGTCCCTCTCCTGGGCCACAGGCACTGGCACCCAGGACTGCAGTGTGTGTGGCTTGTCTTCCCGGGCTGCAGGCACAGGTACAGCTTCTTTCTGACACCCAGGACCCTGGGGCATGTGGCTTGTCCCTGTCCCTGGCCACAGCTTGGGTGGTTTCCATTCCTCTCTTGTGAGCTCATTTGTGTCTGGTTGGTCCACATTCCTCTCTCCCCAGTGTTGAGTGTCCGAGCCATTATGGCATTGTGGCATGAGGGCGTGATGACCATTTGCATATTAGCTCTTTATTATATAGGATGTTTTGAAAATTTTCAGGTATGTACCCAGAAGACGGGTTGCTGGGTCATATGGCAACTCTATTTTTTTTTTTTTTATCGAGGTGATGTTGGTTAATAAGGTTATATAGGGTTAAAGTGTACATTTCTATGATCCTAGATCTATATATTGCATAGTGTGCCTCTCACCCAAAGTCAAATTATCTTCTGTCTCCATATATTTGACTCCCTTTAACCTTAATACCCTCCCCACTTGTTTCCCTCTGGTAACCACCATACTATTGTCTATGTCTATACTTTTTGTTTGTTTGTTGTTCTTGGTGTTCATTTGTTCTTTTCAGTTTTATATCCCACATCTTATTCTTAATTTTTGAAGAGCCTCCATACTATTTTCCATGGAGGCTATACCAGTTTACATTCCTAGCACTAGTGAATAAGAATTTCTTTGTCCCCAAAACCTCTCTAAAACTGTTACTTATTTTGTTGCTAATAGGCATTCTAAGAGATGTGATGTATCTCATTATAGTTTTGGTTCGCATTTCCCTAATTGCTAGTGAAATTGAGGATCTTTTCATATGTCTCTTGGCCATTTGTATACCTTTTTGGGAGAAAGGTCTATTCGGGTCCTCTGCCCATTTTTAAGTTGGATTCTTTGTATGGTGTTCCATTATATGAGTTCTTCACATATTTTGGGTATTCATCCCTTGTCAGAGCTGTTGTTTACAAATATCTTCTCCCAACTAGTAGTTTGCCTTTTTGTTGGCAGTTTCTTTTGCTTTGCAGGAGATTTTTAGTTTGATACAGTCCTATTCATTTATAAAATTCCACATTTAAAAAAGTAATGATTCAGTTTCATAAATAATAAAGGGCACAAGTTAAATGCATGAAACATTGCTTAAAGTCATATTATTAAGGGTCTCATACTCTATTGACTGAGCTAGCCTGGCAGGCACTTCATAGAACTGAAACCTATATAATTTTATTTAATAAGATTACCCCAGTAAATTTAGTGAAAAATTTATAACTTTAGAACTATCATTAAAGTTTTCAAAAAATAACATATCACAAAAGACAGAAAAACAAAATCACATTATTGTGTTTTTATTTATTGCATAAATTATATCATTTTTATAAATCATTATTTATTTATTGGATTACAATTGGAATGTAGTTCTATCATTAATTTACAATATAGTACATTGTATATATAAAGGGTATGTGATATATTAATGGCATTCACTAGTTTTTAAAAGCAATTTATGTTTTACAGTTTGATTACATGGGCTCTGATATAAAGACTGTAACAGAGAAGGTTATTCAGATATTTGGACTTGTTAACACTGTAAGTTTTAAAAAATTCTTTTGTTTATATATTTTGTAAAAGTATCTGTAATATGTATTGATGTGTTTGGTATTTGGTTGTGCTGTTGAACAATTTTCCAAATTAAATGTCTTGAATATGTTTTTATAAAAATTCAATGTAATGTTTAAATTTATTTAAAATTTTATATTTACCTTCTTTTTTTAGATGTTTACTCAGTTGAAACTGACTGTTGTAATATCTTCCATAGAAATCTGGTCAAATAAAAACAAAATTTCTACTTTTGGAAATCCTTATGCAATATTATACAGATTTTCACAATGGAAATCTAAACATATCTTCCATCCTGCATACTTACTTGCGTGAGTATAGTATTCTGTATTTGTACAGTATTATAGAAAAAATTCAAAATGATTTCTTGTTAATTATGAAAAATAATCATCTATTTAATATATATCCTAATATATAAAAACCTGGGTTGTAATGACCCATAACGACCAATACTTGACCAACCGGAAGTCAGTCCTGCAGTCAAGACTGAGAGAGCGCAGTTAGGGACAAGATCAGGCCAGCAGGGGTGGGCAGTTGGGGGCAAGAGTAGGCCGGCAGGGGTGGGCAGTTGGGGGCAAGATCAGGCCAGCAGGGGAGATCAATTGGGGGTGAGATCAGGTCAGCAGAGGAGGGCAATTAGGGGCAGGCAATCAGGCAGGTAGGCAGAGGGGTTAGGGGCAATCAGGCAGGCAGGCAGGTAGGCAGGTGAGCAGTTAGGAGCCAGCGGTCTCAGTTTGCAAGAGGGATGTCCAACCCCTGTGGGATCGGGCCTAAAAGGGCAGTTGGACAGCCCCAAAGGACCCCGATTGGAGAGGGTGCAGGCTGGGCTGAGGGAACCCTCCCTCTGCATGAATTTCATGCACCAGGTCACTAGTATTCTATAAGTTTAGTGAACATGATTGGGATGGGGGAAAACTGTAAGTTAAAGTCCTGTCCTCAATGAGCAAAGTGAAGCAAAACTTAAAAATTTCTAACTGACATAAAATAAGCTAATAAAAGTTAAGTTAGCCAAAGCCAGTTTGGCTCAGCGGTAGAACGTTGGTCTGCGGACTGAAAGGTCCCAGGTTCGATTCCGGTCAAGGGCATGTACATTGGTTGCGGGCACATCCCTGGTAGGGGGTGTACAAGAGGCAGCTGGTCGATGTTTCTCTCTCATCGACGTTTCTAGCTCTCTATCTCTCTCCCTTCCTCTCTGTAAAAAAATCAATAAAATATATTTTTTTAAAAAGTTAAGTTACATAAAAGCATTGAAATAATTAAAGGACATTAATTATAAGTGATACACTTTCTTTAATGTTGCTTGACTTACTTTTACTACCTGTTATATAATCTCTATATTGTGTCTCCAAACTGATTAACTTTTATGTTTTTATTTTCTAATAATTGCTTTTCTCTCTAGAATCTTATGTGCAGAAAAATTTATTCATTTTTTTTGTAAATAAGTGAATAAGGAGGTCACAGAAAATTGAATTTTTAAGGCTGTAAAGGTTGAGGGAATCAGAATAATAAATATAAACCACTAGTGCAAGTATAATGACATATTCTTAACATTGTAGGTATGAGAAAATATGTATTTAAATTAGATTAATTCAGAGTAACATGGTTCTTAGGACAAAGTAATTGTTCACTAATGTTTGTTGTTATGAAAATTTATTGCCAATAATACCATTCTTAAATGCAATTGTGAGAAAATTCTTATTTTTAGTTTCAAGAAACAAATTAGTTTTAAAGGAGCTGTACTTCCCGGAAAAATATGTTTTAAGGATGAGGACGCAGGAATTGCTCTGGTATGTAATTATTATCCAGTTTTTTTTCTCATTATTTTCATGTTTAAAATTTTCCTAAATATTTTAAAGGATGAATAAATATGTTATATAGTTTATTCATTCTTTAATAGTATTTTATATTACTAATTTTGGAAAATAATTAAACTATATATATAAACTATATATAATTGCTTTTAAAAATAGAACAGCTATAAATTGAACTGATCATAATATATTGCAAGTCAACATTTAATTGTTTTGAACAGTGGTATCCTTGCATCAATATTATTAATTGTACCAATAAAAGGGTAATATGCTAATTAGATCAGGAGACTTTCCAGGAGACCTTCCGGACATCCTTCGGGACAAAGCCATGGTGGCCGGACTGAGGCAGTGGCAGTTAGGGGCAGTCAGGCCAGGAGGGCTAGCAGTTCAGGGCTAGCAGGCCAGCAGGGCGGGGGAAGGGGGGACAATTAGGCCAGCAAGGGGGGAGTAGTTGGGGGTGAAAAGGTCGGCAGACAGAGTGGTTAGGGGCAGTCCTGTGGGATCAGGCCTAAATTGGCAGTGGAACATTCCTTGAGAGGTTCCAGATTGGAGAGGGTACAGGCTGGGCTGAGGGACATGAATTTTGTGCACCAGGCCACTAGTATATTCAATAATGTTAATTATTGAACATATCAAATTTTCTCTCAAAATTAAGAATTTGTGTGTATTCACTTGCTTTTTTATTAAATGACATTTTTTCCTATTTTATGCTAAATGTTTTATTACTGCATTCAAGTCTATGTTTTGGAGGAGCAGACTTATAGGAAAAAATAGCTATCAAATATTCATAATCCACTGTTTTCTGGGGAAAGTGAGAATGAGCTCTAACTACAGTGTTATATTCCATTTGTCACAAGTTACTTAAAAACTAGGAAAGGGAACTAACTTGAGAATGCCTCAGAAAAAGATGTATACACTGTTATTTTCATATTGAGCAATTTGTGCAGTTGGTTAAACTTTTAGTAGCAACTATAATGAAGCAAATTGCCATTGACAGATTAAAAATATTTAAAATCACTTGCGTTATGTACTTGTTATAGCATTATGTAAGTTTAAGGACTACAATGTGATGATATGATATATGTATATATGGGAAATTATTGCCACATAAGGTTAACACAGTGGTTGGCAAACCGCAGCTCATGAGCCACATGGGGCTCTTTGGCTCCTTGAGTGTGACTCTTCCACAAAATACCATGGCCTGGGTGAGTCTATTTTGAAGAAGTGGCATTAGAAGAAGTTTAAGTTTAAGAAATTTGACTTTCAAAAGAAATTTCAATTGTTGTGCTGTTGATATTTGGCTCTGTTGACTAATGAGTTTGCCGACCATTGGGTTAACATATCCATCATCTCATATAGTTGCTATTTGTGTGTGTGTGTGTGTTGAGAATCTTTAAGTCTATTCTCTTAGAAATTTCAAATATATAATACAGTATTGTTAATTCTTATTACTATGCTGTACATTGTATCCCCAGATACTAGATGTTGTACACTTTGACTACTTTTACTCACTCCTACCTCATAGTACCCACTCTTGACAACCACCAATCCATTCTTTACTTCAAGATTTATCCATGTTGTTTATGTCTATATATATGTATATATACATACATGCATACGTACATATATACATATACTAGAGAGGCCAGATGCATGAAATTTGTGCAAAGGCCATGGTCCCAGCCTCTGCGCGCCTGCCACCATGGCCAGGGTCTCTGCTGCATCTGTCGTGGCCCCTGCCTGCTAAAGCTTTGTCTGGAAGGAAGGACGTCTGGTAGCATGTTCAGTTTAGTTAACGTATTATACTTTTATTATTATAGATATAGCTATATCACAAATTTTTTTTCACTCATCTGTTGATGGACATTTATGTTATTTCCACATCTTGGCTATTGTGACTAATTTGCATTGAATATGGGCTACAGATATCTCTTTGAGATAGTGACTTCATTTTCTTCAGATGTAGGGTTCCCCCCCCCCAAATGTATACATAAACATTGAATAATTATAAAGGCAGAGTTTATTAAAATACATTTCATTTTCAAAAGTGTGTATATAGTTTTTGGGACACCCTGCATATACCAACTAGTGGAACTGCTGATCCACATGATAGTTCTATTTTTAATAGTTTTAGGAACCACCATGCTGTTTTCTATACTGGTTATACCAATTTATATTTCCAGAAACAGGAAACAGGCTTCCATTTTCTTCACATCATTTCCAATACTTGTTATCTCTTGTATTTTTGATAATAGCCATTCTAACAGGTGTGGTGATATTTCTTGTGGCTTTGACTTGTATTTCCCTGATGTTTATTGATGTTAAACACCTTTTAATGTATCTAGAGGCCATTTAAAATCTTCAGAGAAATGTTTATTCAGGTCCTATGACCATTTATTAATCAGATTACTTGTTTTTTGTTAGTGAATTATATATGAATTCCTATATTTTGGATATTAACTCCTTATCAAAGATATAATTTGCATACTTTCTCACATTCCGTAGGTAACCTTTTCATTTTGTTGATCATTCTTTTGTTGTATAGAACCTTTTTATTGATGTAGTTCCACTTGTTTATTTTTACTTTTGTTTGTGGTTTTGGTATCATATCCTTAAAATAATTGGCAAGACCAATGTCAAGGAGATTTTTAAATATCATTCCTTTTTAAAGTTTTATGATTTCACTTCTTTTTTTAAACATTTCTTTTTCTTATTGATTATGGTATTACATAATTGTCCTCATCCCCCCAATCCCATCTCAAACCCCTCCCCACATATGCCCTCATCCCCCTGTTGTCCATGGCCACTGGCCAGGCCCATATGCATGCAAATCAAGTCCTTTGATTGACCTCTTTCCCTTTACCTCCACCCTCCCCTACTTTCCCTCTGAGGTTTGACAATCTGTTCGCTGCTTCTCTTTCTCTGGGTCTGTTTTTATTCATCAGTCTATGTTGTTTATCATTTCCTCTAGACGTGTGTCTAAGAAATACCCTTGTAAGACCCTAAATGGAGACAAGCCATAATGGTTATGCTGAGAGGCAAATGAATCAGTCTGTAGTGAGTTCCTTTCTGGGCCAACAGTTTTTTTGAGTCCCAATTTCAATGTCAAATAGTTCCTTATGTGTACATGTCAGCCATGATATTTCAGATCTGGTTGGTGGACAAACGGTGGTGATGCAGGTCCGACCGTCTCTGGTTTGGTCCTGGGCATCTTTCAGCAACACGCAGCTGCCGTCTGCTGGCACAGCAAGGTGTCATCAGCATCTTCCAAATCTAAATTGTTTCTCTTCTGTCTTCATGGCTGTGATTTCACTTCTTATATGTATATTTAATGCGTAATTTTTATTGTTGATAACATTACAGATGTCTCACATTTACCACTCTTTACCCCCATCCTCCCAGTCCTAACTCACCCCACAAGGTCTTTGCATAGAAGCATATAAGTTCTTTGTTTTAACTCTTCTCATTCCCCTAACCCCACATCAAGAGAGAGGAAGGGATGAGAATAGAGAGGTAGAAACATCAATGGGAGAGAAACATCATTGATTGAGTACATACTGCATGCCCCCTAATGGGGATTGAGCCTATTACAATCTGGGCATGTGCTCTGACCAGAAATTGAACTGGTGACCCCTTAGTTCCTGGTTCAATGCTTAACCACTGAGCTATATTGGCTGGGGTCACTTCTTACATTTTAATTTTCAATTCATTTAGTAAATTTTTGTGAAGTCTAAGATAAATGGTTCCATTTAATTATTTGAATGTAAATATTCAGTTTTTCTAACACCATTTATTGAAGAGGCTATCTTTTTTCAGTTGAGTATTCTTTGCTCCCTTGTCAAATATTAGTTGATCATATCTTCAGGTTTTTTTTTGTTTTGTTTTGTTTTTTGCTATTCTGTACCTACACTATACTTTAAAAAATGTTTTTATTGATTTTCGAGAAAGAGGATGGGGGTAGAGTAAAAGAGACATATCAGAGGGAATCATTGATTACTTTGCCTCTTGCACCTACCACCTCCAAGGACTGAGCCCACAACCTAGGCATGTGCCATGACCAGGAATTGATCCAACGACCTTTTGGTGCACAGGGTGATGCTCAACCAACTGAACCACACCAGCCAGGGCCATACCATACTTTTGGATTGCTATAGCTTTGCAATATAGTTTCAAAACTGGAAGTGTGATGCCTCCAGCTTTGTTCTTTCTCAGGATTATTTTTGTCTGTTTGAGGTCTGTTGTTGTTCTATACAAATTTTAGCATTCTTTTATAAATTTCTATGAAAAATGGAATTGGAATTTTTAGTAGGGATTGTGTTGAATCTTTATTTTGGATATGGATATTTTAACAATTTTAATGGGGTATCCTTCTAGTTTCTTTCAATATCATATAGTTTTCAGAGTAGAGATCTTTCACCTGCTTAGTTAAATTTATTCCTAATATTTTCTGTTATGTTACTATTGTAATGAAGCTTGTTTTTTTAAAATTGCTCTGATAGTTTATTAGTGTACATAAATGCAACAGATCTTTGTGTATTAATTTTGTATTCAGCTACTTTGCAGAGTTAACATCTTATTCCTAACCTTTTTTTTTTTGTTTTGTTTTAGGGTTTTCTATATATAGTAGTATGTCAAATGCAAATAGTGACATCTTTACTTCTTCTTTACCAATTTGGATGAGTTTTCCCCCTTTGCTTAATTGCTTTAATTAGTACTTTCAATATTATATTTAATAAAAGTGGTGAGAGAGCACATCTTGTCTTTTTCCTGATCTTAGGAGAAACATTTTTAGCTTTTCACATTGAGTATGGTGTTAGCTGTAGACTTGTAATATTTAGCCTTTTTTTGTTGTGGTACTTTCTCTATACTCTGTGCTGATAATTTTTAATAAATGGATATTGAATTGTTTCTATTCATTGTTCTTATTCATAGTTGTTGTTTTTTTAATTTCCCCTCTCTGTTTTTGCCCATTTTATTTTTATTTAATTTATTTTTGTTGTTGAGAATATTATAGATGTCCCCCAATTTGCCCCATTTGTCCCCCTCTACCTGGCTCCCGCTGCAACCCAGGCCTTCATCACACTATTGGCAGTGACCATGGGCTATGCAATCATGAATATAAGTTCTTTGGTTAATCGCTTCCTACTTTCTCTCCCGTAATCCCTCTGATATCTGCCAGTGTTTTCCATGCTTCAATGACTCTGGACCTATTTTGTTCAGTTTATTTTACTCATTTAGATTCCACATATAAGTGAGATCATGTGATATTTAACTTTTTCTGAGTGGCTTATTTTGCTTAGCTTAAAAATCTCCTGGTCTGAAACACTGAACAGACCGTCCAACCTCAGAGAGAAGGCAAGGGAAGGGGGATAAGAGATCAACCAAAGGATTTGTATGCATACATATTAGCATAAACAATGGACGCAGACACTGGGGGAGTGGGGCTTGTCCTGGGGGGAGGGTGGGACAGGGGGGTCAATCTGGGGAAAAGGAGACATATCTAATACTTTAAACAGTAGAAAAAATTAAAAAAGAGAGAAAACATTTTAAAAAATCTCTAGGTCCATCCATGCTGTCAAAAAGGTTAAGAGATCCTTCTTTTTTACAGCTGCATAGTATTCCATTGTATAAACGTACCACAGATTTTTGTAGTCATTCATCTACTTATGGGCATTTGGGTTGTTCCCCTTCTTACTACTGTAAATAATGCTGCTGTGAGCATAAGGGTGCATATATATATTTCTGATTTGTGTTTTGGCATTCTTAGAATATAGTCTAAAAGTGGGATTATTGGGCCAAATGGAAGATTCATTTTTAAATTTTTGAGGAAACTCCATACAGTTTTCCACAATGACTGCACCAGTCTGTATTCCCACCAGCAGTGCATGATGGTTCCTTTTTCTCCACATCTTCACAAGTATGTGTTATTTGTTTGTTATTTGCTTATTTATTGATGGTAGTCATTCTGGCAAGTGTGAGGTGATTACTCAATGTAGTTTTAATTTGCAACTCTCTGATGATTAGTGACTGAGCATTTTTTTCATATATCTGTTGGACGTCTGTATATCCTCTTTAGAGAAGTATCTAATCAGGTCCTTTGCCCATTTTGTGTTGGAGTTAAATGAGTTTGTCTTCCTTTTGTTGAGTTAAATGAGTTCTTTATATATTTAAAAAATTAAATCCTTATCAAATATATCATTGACAAATGTCTCATATTTAGTGTGTTCTCTTTTCATTTTGAAGATGGTTTCTTTTGCTTTGTAGAAGCTTTTAATTTTGATGTAGTCCCATTTGTTTATTTTCTTCTTAGTTTCTTTTGCCCTATGAGATGTATTGATAAAAATATTGCTATGAGAGATGTCCGAGATTTTGCTACCTGTGGTTTCTTCTAGGATTTTTATGGTTTCCCTACTTATATTTTAGTCTGTTATCCATTTTGAACTTATTCTTGTGTATGGTATAAGTTGGTGTCTAGTTTCATTTTTTTTTTTTTTTTGCATGTACCTGTCCAATTTTCCCAGCACCATTTATTTTTTAAAATATATTTTATTGATTTTTGCAGAGAGGAAGGGAGAGGGATAGTTAGAAACATCTATGAGAGAGAAACATTGATCAGCTGCCTCCTGCACCCCCCACCCCCACCCGGGGATGTGCCTGCAACCAAGGCACATTCTCCCGACTGGAATCGAACCCTAGACCCTTGAGTCCGCAGGCTGATGCTCCATCCACTGAGCCAAACCAGCCAAGGCCCAGCACCATTTATTGAAGAGACTTTCTTTACCCTATTGCATGCACTTGCCTTCTTTGTCAAATATTAATTGACCATAAAGGTGTGGGTTGATTTCTGGTTTATCTGTTCTGTTCCATTGGTACCAGACTGTTTTGTTTACAATGACTTTGTAGTATAGATTGTAGTTTTTTCAGTCCCTCCTATTTTGTTCTTTTTTTATTTCATATAAATTTTTGGAGTATTTGTTCTAGATCTATGAAATATGCCATTGGTATTTTAATTGAGTTTGCATTGAATCTATAGATTGTTTTGGTTATGAACATTTTAATGTTAATTCTTCCTATCTATAAACATAGTATATGCTTGCTCTTGTTTATATCTTCCTCTATTTCTTTTTTTCAATGTCCCATAGTTTGCTGAGTACAGGTCTTTAACCTACTTTGTTAATTCCCAGGTGTGTGTGTGTTTTTTTTATTTTTATTTATTTATTTATTTTTTATCGCAGTGGTACATGTTTTCTTTTATTTCTCTTTCTGAGAATTCATTCTTAGTGTATAAAATGCTATTGATTTCTGGATGTTAATTTTCTATGCTGCTACTTTGTCAAATTCGTTTATTAAATCTAGTAGTTTTTTGTTTTCTCTGTACAATATCATTTCTTGCAGTTAGATCTTGAGCCAAGGTAATATTGTTTGAGATGTGGATACCCTCAAGTTGATACCCTCTTGAGTTTATGTAGGTCTTGTTTTTGTGGCTCTGTGGTATTATAATGATGCTGAAGCCCTGTTGTGTAATATGAATTATTGGGCCTGTATCTTGGGACCCCAACTTAAAAATATTATTTAAATCAAGGTGCTTGTAGATACACAGATAGCAAAAGGGACATTGGTGTCTGTGCCAGAGCATGTCTAGCAAAATCAAAACCCAAATTAGTCATGGCTGGATTGAAAACTGTCCAACAGACTGAGGTTTTTTCCTTAGGTGAAAAGAAGTGTTCTATTGTAAGTAGGTTTTAAATCATATGACCAAATTTAGTTGTAAGTTGACAATAGGTTGACAGGTTGTTTGCCATTTAAAATATCTGTGCTTGAGGTCGGGGCTCCAGAATTGGGATACAGATAGTTGTATGTTCCCTTTGACTCAATTTTGGTTTGTTTGGTAACAGGAAAGCAGGTGAAGTCTTTTAAGTTGTAAGATTTTATTCTTTTTTTTAAACCAAAGCTGAACCTACATTGGCCCATCAAAATCACTCAAAGTCTAATTTTCCTTAGGGTTCATTCTTGGTGTACATTCTATGGGTCTGGAATATATATGATATCATACAGAACATTTTCACTGTGCTCTGCTTATTAATTTCTGCCCTCCTCACAAGCAACCACAGATCTTTTCATTGTCTCCATAATTTTGTTTTTTTCTGAGGATGACATATAGTTGGAATTATTCAGTATGCAGAATTTTCAGATTGGATTCTTTCACTTAGTAATATGCATTTGAGGTTCCTCTATTTCTTTTCATTACCTGATAACTCATTTCTTTTTAGTGCTGAATAATATTCCATTGTCTGAAATGTGCCATAGCTTATGTATTTGTTCACCTATATAAGGATATCATGGTTGCTTGCAAGTTTTGGCAATAATGAATAAAGCTGCTATAAAAGTCTGTATGCAGAAACTGGAAATAAAACAAAGGAGAACAACAATACCTACTGAGGTGTATTAATTGTTGATTGCTATACAACTGATTATACCAAAACTTAGCAAATAAAATGTAGTTCTGTGGGGTAGGATTCTAGGAGCAGCTTAGTGAGCAGAATCAAGGTGTCAGTTGGACCTATAGTAATCTCAGGATTCAACATAGAATTTGTTTCCAAGCTCAGTCACGTGGCTATTGAAAGACCCCAGAAAATCTCTTCCAAGTTCATTTATGTGGACCTCTTATTAGGCTGGCTTCTTAGCATAACAGCTAGCTGGCTTTCCCCTGAGTGAGGAGAATGAGGCAGAATCTAAGAATTCAGTCTTTCTAACCTATTTTAGAAATGATGAACCATCACTTCTGCTATATTCATTAACTAGAAGTATTCAAGGACATGAATAGCAGAAGGCAGAAATCATTGAGACCTATTTCAGAGGCTGCCTTCTACAAAGAAAAAAAATGTAGAATTTATTATTGAAATAGTAGAGGCCCAGCACATGATTAAATCGTGTGGGTAGGGTCCCCAGGCCTAGCCTCCTGAAATCAGGGCCATCTTCTCCTGTTCGCCAGACTCCAGGTCAAATGCTGCCTCCGCTACGGAGCTGTCAGGCCATTGGGATCCCCAGCTCATCCCCAGCTGCTCCAGGGCTCAGGCCTGCAGGAAAGCGGGCACTGGAGACTTCACCTCCATGCGAGTGTGCTGGGCTGGCTGATGGAATGCACTGCCTGCTTGGGGCAGCTCCCATGGGTGCCGCCTCCTCCATTGCCTCTGCTGCTGGGGCTTGAGGCACTGAAGGAGGCTGCAGGGTGCGCCTGCGATCAACCTGCCCCCATGTGAGCGGCCTCGAGAGCTGGCAGTGTGTTCCATCAGTGGCCGGGCTGGTCCACACACATGGAGGTGAAGTTGCTGGCAGCTGCTTTCCCATAGGCCTGACTCCTGGTGCAGCCAGGAATGAGCTGGTGAACTCAATGGCCTGGTAGCCAGCCCAGTCCTCCCACCAACCACCCTGATTCCCCTGTTCACCATGGCTGATCCATTGGAGCCTGCAGGCATCCAAGAGGTCAGCAGTTCAGCCTGCTCACCAGTCCTCAGTCCCACACCGCCTTTGCTCACAGATGGGAGGGAGGGACCAAGAAGAGGTCAATGCCACCTCATGGTAACTGGTCATTTGGTCATTCTGGTCATTGGGACACTGGCTTTTTATATATATATGTAGATTAGAGGAATTTTGTTTATAATAATTCAGAGATGCAATGTTCAATGTGGTGTTTAAGACTCCAAGATAGTTGCTGTTGTCCTTAAGTAATAGTATTTTGAAATTAAACTTTTGTGTATATTTATCTATGCTTAACAAATCTATCTTCCAAATGCTTATATAACTAATTTCATCTACACAGGTATCTTGGATGCATTGATACCTTTTAAAAATTAATTTCACTTATTAATTTTTGATTATAGTAAGTATTGTGTGTGTGTTTTTAAATAACAATAGAATTCTTAGCTGAATTATTTTCTTTTCTTTCCCTTATATTTAGCAAGTAGAGGGCTCATCTTTGGAGTCATATGCTGTCAGTATCGTGCAGTTGCTTAGCCTTCATATGGGATTGAGTTTTGACAATACTGATACCTGCTATTGTTCAGGAGATGTTTGCACGATGTCATCAGAAGCAATGTAAGATAATTTTTTTAATGAAATACACATATTTCTTTAAAGAAATTGTTTGATGAGTTCTTACATTTCTATTAACCAAACTAAAGTAATTGACAATTACAGAACACTGTATCCAACAACTATATACATTTTTTTTAAGTAACTACGGAAGCACACTAAAATGATTCAACACTTCCCAAACCCTCCATACTTGTGTAAACTCTCTTCTTCCTTCCTACCTCCAGAGTCTGATTTGTGTATGTGTGTGTGTGTATATATATATATATATATATATTTTTTTTTTTTTTTTCTGGCCTGCTTGAAAGCTCCTTCTAGGAACAAGCCAGATGAATTGTGTGATATCAGTGATTCTGCATAAAATTAAATGCTTTTATATTTTCATTTAAACTGGCATTGTACAATATAAGGATGTGCAATTCAAGTTAATTACATTTTATTTATCTTGAAATACATTAAATTGTAGATGAATAACACCATGACCCATTGAGAAAGAGAGACTTTGAAGCAAGGAGAAAAAGCTTTTAATTTTAATATTGCTAATAATACTTTTCTCTTGCTTTATAAACAAGGAAGGTTGCACTTTCATTTGCATTAGTTTCCACAAATTATGTAGCTAGTCCTGATTGTTTTACATCATCACCAAAAATTGATATGATCAATATGTTTAATTTTAATCATTTAGTTGGTAGATATTATCTCATATGAATTTTACCTGCTTTTTCCTATGAACTAATAATGTGAACATATTTTCATGCTTAATAGCTTTGTATATCTTCTTTGATAAAGAGTTTATTCAATCTTTTTTTTTCTAATTTTAAAAAACAAAATATTTTGTGCTCTTATTGAGTTGTAAGAATTGTTCATATATTTTGCATATTAGATACATGATTTCCTCTTTAAAATTAATTCTTTAAAAAAATATATTTTATTGATTTTTCACAGAGAGGAAGGGAGAGGGATAGATAGTTAAAAACATCGATGAGAGAGATTCATCGATCAGCTGCCTCCTGTCCACCCCCCACTGGGGATGTGCCCGCAACCAATGTACATGCCCTTGACCGGAATCGAACCTGGGACCTTTCAGTCCACAGGCTGACACTCTATCCACTGAGCCAAACTGGTTTCGTCATTTAAAATGAATTTTTTAAGAACATGTTTTTAATTTTGATGAAGTACACTTTATCAGTTTTAGGATATTTTAGTTAATTACTATATATGTGTTTTAGTTCATTTTTATTTTTGCAATATGGATTTTTCAGTTACTCCAAGACCACTTGTTTTCCTCACTTAATTGCCTTGGCCACTTCTTCAAAAATCAAGTGACCATATATGTGTGAATTTTTAATAGGAATCTTTATTTTATATCATTAATCTCTATGTCTACACTTATGCAGATGCATATAATCTTTATTGCTGTACCTTTATATTGAATTTTGAAATCAGGTAATGCAAATACCCAAATTTTTTCATCTTCTCTAAAGTTCTTTTTGGCTAATCTAGGCTCTTTGCATTTTAATATATACATATATATTAACAGCTTCTAAATTTTGACAAAATCCCCTGTTGAGCTTTTAAAAAGTATTGCATTATTTAATTGCATAATTCAATTTTGGGAGAATTGCCATTTTAATAATATGGAATATTTTGATTCTTGGATATGGTATATGACTTCATTTATGTAGGTCTTTAATTTTTTTCAGCAATGTAATTTTATGATTTAAATTTTATTTTTAAGCATTTATCTTTAAGTATTCTTTTTTGTTATCATGAATGAAATTGTTTACTTATCATTCTCAAATTGCTCTTTTCTAGTACCTAGGAATATAACAGATTTTAGTACATTGACTTTGGGTGCTGCAAACTCGTTAAATACTTTAGAAAATTCAGGAGGTTTTATTTGTTGATTCTGTAATATTTTCTCTAAATAAGATATTGTCATTCATGAATAAGAACAGTTAATATTTTTCTTTCCATCTTTTTGTGTATAAGTCTTTTTTCTTTCCTTAATTCCACTTGAATTAACTTCAGCCCAATGTGAATTGATATAGTGAGAGTGGATATCCTTGCCTTGTTTCCAATCTTAAGGAAAAAGCATAACATCATAAGTATGAAGCTAGCCATAGTTCTTTATTCTTTAAATATATTTTTACTTACTTTGTTTCTTTTTTAAATTTATTTTTATTGATTCAGAGAGGAATGGTGAAGGAGAGAGAGATAGAAACATCAGTGATGAGAGAAAATCATTGATCGGCTGCCTCCTGCACACCTACTACTGAGATCAAGCCCACAGTCCAGCCGTGTGCCCTTGACTTGAATCAAAACTGGGACCCTTCAGTCCCCAGGCCAATACTCTATATATTGAGCAAAACCAAATAGAGTGCCATAGTTCTTTTTTTAAATTAAATGTCCTCTCTTCTAAAATAGTGTCTTTATTCCCTTGCACAATATGTTGTTTTATTTGTGTTTTTCATCTTTCCAATAACTATCTGACTTATTTCACATGTGTGTTTCCTGATGCTCACATTTTTTGCTTCTAGTAAACACTTGTTCTACTTTTTACTAAATAACAGTTGCCTATAAGAATGCTCAGTAAATGATGCAAATTATGAACTTATTAGCTAAGGATATTTGCTTATTATTTAACTAGAGGCCTGGTGCATGAAATTCGTGCATGGGGGTGTGTGTCCCCCAGGCCTGCCTGCATCCTCTTGCAATCTGACACTGCTAGCTTCTAACGGCTCACCTACCTGCCTGCCTGATTGCCTCTAACCACTCGCCTGCCTGCCTGATCACCCCTAACCACCTCTGCCTCGGCCCCCACCACTGCGGCTTTGTCAGAAAGATATCTGGAAAGACATCCGGATGGTTGTTCGGCTGTCTTGTCTAATTAGCATATTACACTTTTATTATTAAAGATTTTGTCCTTATTTTGAGTGTTTTAATTATATACTTCATAAACAATCAACGTTATTGATGTATAATTTATTCACAATAAAATTGACATGCTTAGAGTGTTCAAGTTTATGACTTTATATAAAATAGAGGTCCGGTGCATGAATTCATATACCAGTAGATCCCTCAGCCTGGCCTGTGGGATTGGGCCAAAACTAGCTCTCTGACACCCCTTGAGGGGTCCCGGGTTGTGAGAGGGCACAGGCCAGGCTGAGGGACCCCACTGTTGCACAATCAGGGCCAGCGAGGGACACAGGAGGTTGGCCAGATAGAGAGGGACTGGGGGAGGGCTCCAGGACATGTCTAGCCCATTTCACTCAGTACTAATTGACCAGTTGGAGTGTTTGCCCCCTAGGGCCAGTGCATGTCATAGTGACTCATCGACCAGTTGACTGACCCTCTAGTGGTCAGTGCATGTCATAGCAAATGGTTGAGTGACTTTAGCATTCATTAGCATATTACTCTTTGGTTGAATGGAAGACCGGTTGACTGGACACTTAGCATATTAGGCTTCTCTATTATATATGATCTTTGAACCACAGTGTCAGTCAGGCTATGCACCTTTTCTCCCCTCATAGGAAGTTCTTTTGTGACCTTTAGCAGTCCTTCTACCTTCTACCCTGGCCCCAGGCAACAACTAATCTGATTTCTATCACTGCAGTTAGTTTACCTTGCTGAACAATTTAATGTGAATTGAATTTGTACTATCCTTTGAGTGTTCACTGTATAAGACTGTATTTTCTCTATATTAGCTGAACATTTTTTTCTTGAAATCTTTGAATATATAATATCAGTTCCTTTTAAATATTTGTGTGCCAAATTTAACACTAGGGCCATCTCAGTGTTGATTTCTATTGATTACATTTTTTTTATTGGCTATGGATCACATATTCTTATTTATTTGATACTATTATTTACTAATTATTATAGATATTAGATATAGTTGTTTTACAATAGGAAGCTTGGACTCTCCTACCTCCCTCTGAAAAACATTGATTCTTTTTCTACTAGACAATTCAACTATTGGCTAATCATTTTGAATTTTATTTGCTTGCTTTTATGCTTTATAATCTGTACATATAAAAGCCACCACTTGACCCAGTCAAGTAGTCACTATGACATGCATTGACTACCAAGAGGCAGATGCTCAATACAAGAGCTGCCCCCTAGTGGTCAGTGTGCTCCCACAGCGGGAGCTCTGCTCAGGCAGAAGCTGGGCTCATGCTGGCGAGCACATCTGCTGTGGCAGGAGCCTCTCCTGCCTCCGTGGCAGCGCTACTGAATGGTGGCTGCAGGCACAGCGAAGCTGGGAAGAGCGGGAGCAGCGTGGTATCTAGCCCCAGCTCAGGCTCCTTCCCGGCCGCCTGCCTATTCTCACACTGCTATATCCCTCAGGGCCGTAGCTTGGGGACTGGGCCAAAATTGGCAGCCTGACATCCCCCGAGGAGTCCCAGATAGCAAGAGGGCGCAGGCCAGGCTGAGGGACCTCCACCAGTGCACTGTGCACTGGGCCTCTAGTATGAATATATAGAAGCTCGAGGTATTTCCAACTTGGTCTTTGTGGATCCTGTTGGAGCTTGAATTAGGCTGTGTTAGAACTGATACTGAGTAGATTTTAATATAGGGTAGAGATTAGCCAACAATAATTCGTGGGCCAGATTTGGTGGTCTTTTTGATTTGTAAATAAAACGGAAATGCGGGAATTAAACTGAAACGCACTGTTTTCCTCCGGGCATGTTGCAAAGATGATTTTCCAGGTTCTTGTCCAGGTAGATTTGAAGAATAAAGCCACAGACAAAAGGTGGACATTTATTGAGAAACAAGCACAGAATACCATGTGGGAGGGGGGAGAGAGGTCCACCAAGTCCCTCTTTCTTAAGGTTTATAAAGGCAGCAGTTCTTCATGTCCCGATATAGCCCTCTGATTGGTCACTATAGCGGCTTCAGAGCTCAAACCCCTAGTGGTGTTCCCCCCTTTTTTCTCCCTTTTATTCTTCTATTCTTTTTCTTTATTCTGTGAATGAGCGGATTCCAGCTCCCTTATTCTGTAAACTTATGCCTTCTGGCAGCTCCCAGATTTGCAGCCCCGCGTGTCTCCCCCATGGGCTCCCTAATTCCCAAATCTTCCTAAACCTGCCTATTTTACCCTTAAAAACACCTTTCAAAATCTTATTGCAATGCATTCAGGCTCATTGGTTTGCATATTATGTATGACTTCTTTTGGACGATAGTGGCAAATTTCTTAGTTCCATCAGAGTATACAGCATATACTGTAAACTGATACTATTTACTATCAGCTCTTTATAAAAAAAGTTTCTCAAATCCTGGTTTAGGGCACAGTCTTTAGTCTCTTAAATCATATTCTTTCAAATGTTCTGGAAGGGAGAGAGGAAGGGATTAGTTGTGCTAACAGCTTTTATTCTGTCAGGACAGGTCCTCCTACTGCTCCTCCCACAATGGCTCAAACAGCTAATTTTTATTTGAAAAGTGTTCACTTATGGAGAGGAAAAAAAGCTCTAAAGTATAGTATTATAGTTACTATTAATAAAGAGTAATAATAAATAATATATATACATATATATATATATACTATGAAGTGATTCATATTGGTATTTATAGAAAAAACATAAAAATACTATTAAGTAGATTAAAGTATATTAATTAAACACTGAAGCAAAAATTTTTAAGTTGTTTGGCACTGGGAAAGTAAGTAAGTGTAACACAGTTCCTGTTTTTTCATTACAATAGTTTTCATGCTGACATTTAAAAAGTGTGTTAAACATATTAGCAATGAAATTAATATTTTCAAAAATATGCATTTTGTTTTCTATGAAAAATAATGCTCTTCATTTTTTAAAATATTTTTTATTGATTTTTTTACAAAGAGGAAGGGAGAGGGGATAGAGAGTTTGAAACATCAATGAGAGAGAAACATCAATCAGCTGCCTCCTGCACACCTCCTCCTGGTGATGTGCCTGCAACCAAGGTACATGCCCTTGACCAGAATAGAACCTGGGACCCTTGAGTCTGCAGGCTGATACTCTATGCACTGAGTCAAAATTGTCAGGTCAAAAATAATGCTATTTAAATCTCTCTCAAAATTGCTGTACATTAGGAGAAATGTAGAAATATGTAGCAATAATTTTTATCATACCCACGTGTCTGTGTGTGTGTGTCTTTTTTTTTTTTAATATATATATATATTTTAGGCACTCCCGGGGTGTAAAGGATTTTAGTACCTGTAGCTTGGATGAGTTTAAATATTTGACTTCAAGTTCTAGTCTTGAATGTCTTCATAGCAGCCTTCCTATTAAACCAGTTTACAAAAGCGTACCGGATACTTGTGGCAATGGACTATTGGAAAAAGGTGAACAATGTGATTGTGGCATTGGAATGGTGAGTAGAAAAAATTTCAAAAACTTTTTATTCTCTATATATATATATATATATATATATATATATATATATATATATATATACACAAACACCTTATTGTTTAGAAAAATAAATTTAAAAAATACTTTTTTTTAAAAAAAGATGGCAGCCTTTAAGTTTCCTAATTTTTGTTATTTTTCAAAATGGAGAGCAAATGTTCTTAAGGTAATGTTTATCTTTAAATATTGTTTTTTTGACATTCTTTAGTGTATGAATCAGCCACACACTTAGAATTAGTCGCCATAAGAGTATTTAGAATTGAAGAAATATATTTAACAACAAGCAGCAACAAAAGCAGACAAGAACATCTGAAGGCTATAGACTATTATCAGTGGGATAACAAAATGCATTGGTAATATTGTGAGAAAAAGATTTGTATTGACAGGTTATGCCAACTAAAAACATTTTAAAATTAAATCTTTCACACATAGAAAATATAAAAATACACAGCAAAGATTAAAATAAAAGATGAAAGATGACAGAGGAGGTATTGACAACAAAGTGAAACAAACATGAAAATTCTCAGAGATAGAAATTGTAAAATACAGAATATATTCAAATATAGTATGTTAAAAGCATATTTCTGTATTAAAATATGTTATGTACTAAAGGCCCAGTGCATGAAATTCATGCACTACAGGTGGGAGGGGGGTCCCTCAACCCTACCTGTGCTCCCTTGCAGTCCGGGACCCCTCAGCAGACATCCCTCTTGCAGTCCAGGACCCCTCGCTCCTTCCCTCCCACCTGCTTGCTGCTCCCTACTGCTCAGCTCACTGCTCCTTAGTGCTGCCACCAAGGTTCCTGCCACCCGCACTATACTCACCAGCCGTAAGCCCAGCTTCTAGCTGAGCAGTGCTTCCCTGGTCTGAGTGCACTGACCACCAGGGGGCAGCTCCTGCATTGAGTGACTGCCCCTTGGTGGTCAGTTCATAGTGACCAGTCATTCCACTGTTTGGTTGATTTGCATATTAGGGTTTTATTATATAGGATAGGATATTGAATGTGAACTGTAAATGAAAAATAAAATTTAAAAAAGAACCAAATAAAATTTTAGATCTGATAAAAATTTTAATACCTATATTTTTAATTTTCACCTGAGGATGTTTTTAAAATTGATTTTTAGAGAGAGAAACATCCATGTAACAGAGAAATACCATTAGGCTGCCTCTGCACCTGCTGACCCACTGGGATCTAACCTAAACCTAAATATGTGCCCTAACCTAGAATCCAACAAGAAATTCTTTGGTGTACAGGTTGAGACTCCAACCTATTGAGCCACCTGGCCAGGGCAGATTTGAATTTTTTTTTTAAATGTACCTCCAGGCCCTAGTCCATGTGGATCAGTAGTTAGAGTGTCCTCCCATGCACTAAAGAGTCATGGGTTCGATTCCAGTTGAGGGCACATACATAGTTTGTGGGTCCCATCCTGTCAGATTGCTTGGGCAACTGATCAGTGTTTCTCTGTCTTTCCTTTTCCCTTCCTCTCTCTCTAGAATCAATGAAAAATATATATCCTTAGCAGAGGAGAAAAAAAATGCTAGTTTGGTTGAGTGGATAGTGAGTGCTTCTCCTGGTGGACTGAAGAGTACCAAGTTGGATTTCGATCATGGGCACATACCTGGGTTGCAGGCTCAATCTGGGGTCCTGGTTGGGGATTCAGCAAGAGGCAATCAAGTGATGTCTCTCAGATTAGTTTCTGTCTTTCTCGCTCCCTTCCACTCTCTCCCTTAAAAAAAAAAAAAAAAAAAAAAATCAATGGAAAAATGTCCTCAGGTGAGGATTAACAAAAACAAACAAACAAACAAACAAACATCCATCCCCAGTGTGATTATTGAAGGAGCAGATGAAGTATTTGTTGAATGAATGGGAAGGGATAGTACTTTGTTTTCTAACTATTTTTATCAACTCTGCAAGCCAGAGGGTTTATTTTTTATTTTAATTTTTATTGATTGATTATTTTAGAGAAGGAAGAGAGTGAGAGAAACATCAGTGTGTTGTTCCATTTATTATGCTTGTTGTCTGTGCCCTGACCAGGGATCAATCCAACCTGCAGCCTTGCTGTATGAGGAAGTTCTAACCTACTGTGCTGACGCTGTCAAGGCTCTTCAACAAAACCCCTCTGGCATGCCCTGGCCCCTGCTGTGGGCTGGAGCTCCTCTGCCACACCAAAGATTTGGGCTCCATTCTCTCAGGGCACCTACTTAGGTTTCAGGTTTGATCCCCAGTCAGGGCTGACTGCTGCTCAGGAAGTGACTGAGGACCATTGAAGTCTGTGTGTTCTATGTCATTTAGTGGGGAGCTGGGGTTCCATTGCCAACATGGCTGACCCTGATCCCTGCTGCCCCTGCTCTTCCATCGAGATGACAGCTTCATGGCCTCTGCCAGTGTACACAACCACATGGGTAGGTCAACATTTCCACGGCTCACTTGGCCCATCTGCCGCGCAGGTGCCCAGGAGGTGGATTTCCGGGTTCCCAGGAAGAGTGCCCTCCATGCTGGACTCCCAGGAAGAGTTGGGTCCTGGAGGAAAAGCACTTCACTTCCCTTCTCTTTGGGGCTCCCCGGCCAGAGTGCCCACCCTGCCCAGGGCTCGGAGGGGAGAGCTGCCCCGAAGGAGGCCTCCTGGCTGGGTGCCGAGAAAATGAAACTAGAGCCCTCGCTCCTTGAACCCTCTCGTCTTGAGTGTAGAAAGGGACAGATGAAGCCTCAGCAGCCTTAATGGGGCCTGGTGTGCATGCAGCCTGCTAATTGGTCATTATGTGACAGCATCCTGGATAATTTGCATATTCCTCTATTATTAGTATAGATAATATAAAACATATAACATATCTAGAAATATGTATATATTATTACAGGTGTATTATTTAAGAAACATATCTTAAAGAAGAAAGAAGCCAGAAGAGAGTTTACTCTTGAAAAAATACTGCAGCTGGAAGATATAAGAATTATAAGTTTAAGTCTTTCTAGCCTAATGGTGCTCCTGCACCTCCACAGTGATGGCAGCATTAAATGGCTGTGGAAAACAGCAGCTCTACCAACTCAATGTGACAGAGAACAGAGTTTAGGGATGGGAGCCACTGGAAATTTAAGGGTAGGACTCTTACAGAGAATTGTGAAAGTGGTGAGACCCAAAATCTGATTATCAACTGTACAAATACTTGGCAGACTGCTAAAATATGCATGGGCCAGAAATACTCCAGGGGGCAAAAGGGAAGGATAAGACATTTGAAAGACATAAGGTTCATCAGGTGAGGTCTGTGAGTTTGATGGTTTTTTAAAGTGTATATTATCCAACTATGTGCAATTTAGGCAGCAGAAATTTGAAAACTTCTTTCAGAAATCACAATTTCTGAAAAATTCCAGTCTGGAATTGCAACTGGAAATTAAAGATAAATCTTCAGAAACAAGGAAACTACAGGTATATTATACTCTGAAATCTAAGTGCAAAGTCTGCCTGTATCCCCAGCTAAATGCCACATTATACCAGGGAATCAAGATAAAATTGATCAGTTGGAAGCCATATGAATTGAGCAGAGATAGCTGCTACACATTGCAGGGGAAATAAAATTTATAGTTTATGCCCAGGCCAACTTCTACTAAGAAAACAAAAACAACCTTCAGAAGAACACAGCTGAATAGTCATTACGTATATCATTTTTCTCCCTGGAATGTCCAACTTATTAACAAAAATTACTAGACATTCAGAGAAACAAGGAGTATGAACCATATTCAGGAAAATAGGTAGTTGAGGAAAACTCACTCTGAAAAGTTAAGTTACTGCATTTAACACATAAAGCCTCCACAGTAGTTTTTATGAATATGTTAAGAGAATTAAAGGAAATGCTCAAATAATTGAAGGAAAATTAATGAGTGAGCAGCTAAGGAATCTCAACCAGTATAATTAATATTTATAGGGTACTATATTTAACAACTAAATATAAACACTCTTTTTGAAATATTTATCAAGACAATATATTCTGAGCCACGCAGTAAATATCATCACATTTATTTTATTTTGAAAATTAGTTTAGAAATCAAGAATAATAAGATATCTTGAAAAACACCCACATATTTGGAAATGATTATATCACTAGTAAATGGTCCATGGCTCAAAGAAATCACAAAGGCAATTAGAATATATTTTTATTTCATTCTTATTTTTAAATTGTCACCTCAGGTTATTTTCCCATTGATTTTCAGACAGATTGGAAGGGTAAGAGAAAGGGAGAGAAAAGGAGATCAATATGAGAGACACACTGATGGGTTGCCTCCTGCACCTGCTCAGACCAGAGCTGGGGAACCTGCAGCAGAGGTATGTACCCTTGACTGGGAATCGAACCTGTGACCTTTGGGTATGTCACAAAAGTGTGCAGATGAAAACATGAAAATATATGAGAATCAGCTACCACAGTGTTTTGAGGAAAATATATAAATATCTTTAAATATTTATATTAGAGGGAAAGAATAATAAACTATTTGAAATGTAACTCTAGGGAACTAAGATATACTCTAAATTAAAGCCAAAATAAATGGAAGGAACAAATGATAAAAATAAAAGCAGAAATTGTTGAGGTAGAAACTAGAGAATGAAAATAAAAGCTTTCTAAACAAAAGCAATATATTTGATTTGATATACCTCTTATTGTACTCATGGAGAAAAAATGAGAGAAAAAAATTAATTACTAATATCAGGAATGAAAGGCATTTAGCACACACCATATAGATGTAAAAATATGGAATATTAAAAACTATATAAATTAATTTGACAATTTATATAAAACTGACAAGTTTCTTAAGACACAAATTATCACAACTGATCTAAGAAGATAAGATTTGAATAGTTTAATATTTCATTAATTAAATTTATAATTAAACTTTTCACAGAGAAACTACAAATCTATGTCTCTTCACTAGTGATTTTATCAAACATATAAGAAAAAAATAATGCCAATTACACATAAATCTTCTCATTCTTCTTGAAGAAAGTAGGTTAAAAGGAGTCATTTCAAAATAGCTAGGATATCCTATTTTTTTTAAGAAGGTTTGCCTTTATAAAATAGATTTAAAAAAATCAAAGAACAGCCACATATTTGATTAAAAAAAACAATATTTTAAAAAGCTAACAAAATAATATTTAATGCTTGAATACATAAATCAATGTAAAATAACTTTTTAAAAAACATAGCACTGCAGCCTATGGTCAAGTTGTTCATATTGTATAGTTTCCTAAAAAAACTAAAATTGGAATTCCCATTTGATGCAGTGATCCCACTAGAAACACCAGTCAGAAAGGCTATATGCACCCCTATGTTCTTAGCAGCACAATTTACAATAGTTATGATTTGGAAATAGCCTAAGTACCCATCAGCACGAGTGGATTAGAAAACTGTGGTACATACCCACAATGAAATACTATGCTGCAGTAAAAAATAAGGAATTCTTACCATTTGCAACACCATGGATGGACCTGGAGAGCATTATGCTAAGTGAAATAAGCCAGACAGAGAAAGATAAATGTCACATTATCTCACTCATTTGTTGAATATAATGATCAACATAAACTGATGAATAAAAACAGATACAGAGACAGAGAAGCATCAATCATACCATTAAATGTCAGAGGGAAGGTAGGGGAGGGTGGCGGTAATGGAGAGAGATCAACCAAAGGACTTATATGCATGTATATAAGCATAACCAATGGACACAGACACCAGGGGTGTGAAGTCATGATTAGGAGTGGGAGGGGGTGAAGGGATAAGAGGGCCAAGGGGGAATAAGGACACATATGTATGTAATAACTTAATCAATAAAGAAAATAAAAAAATAAAGAAATGAAACAAAGCTGCAGCACAAAAAAAAAAGAAAAAGAAAATAGTAATAAAAAATTATCAATAACAAAAAAGGCAATATTAGGAGAGAAACATCTGATATTGTAATGGAGATACTACATAATTTAAAACAAACTTGCTACTGAAGACTAGACAAGCTGACTGAAGGCACTGAATTTTATAAAATACTAGAGGCCGCGTGCATGAAATCTGCATGGAGCAGGGTCCCCTTAGCCCAGCCTGTACCCTCTCCAATCTGGGTCCCCTTGGGGGATGTCTGACTGCCAGCAGTGGGTTCAGGCCTAAACCAGCAGTCAGAGATCACTCTCACAATCCTGGACTGCTGGCTCCTAATTGCTCACCTGCCTACTAGGTTGCCCCTAACTGTGCGCACCCCCTCTCCCCCCTACTCCACTGGCCTGATTGCCCCTAACTGCCCCCTCTGCCGGCCTGGTTGCCCCCAACTGCCCCCCATGCCGACATGGTCACCCTTTACAGTCCCCCCACTGGCCTGGTTGCCCCATGCAGCCTGCTTGTTCAGTCATTTGATCATCCCTCATTAACCCCCCCTGCTGGCCTGGTTGCCCCCCGCAATCTGCTTGAGCAGTTGCTTGGTTGTCCCTCATTAACCCCCTTCAGGCCTAGTTGTAGGCAGCCATCTTGTGATGGCATAGGGTTAATTTGCATATTACCTCTTTATTATATAGGATAAGTAACTATACAACAGGGGCCAGCATCCCAGTGACATCAGAGGTCGAAATAGATGTGTTTGGCTTCTTGGACCACCCTTTTTAGGATAGGTTTGGAGATTTTGCCATTTCAGAGAGAAGAATGTTGCTTTTGACAGCTTCACATCAGAGAAGTTCTCTATGTGAACAGATCTGGCTCATACAAGTTATTATCAAAGCAAGAATATAAGAAAATTTTTTAAGAGAATGGTAGTTAACAAGGTATCTAATAATTACTTCCTCTAAAGTTTTGGCTCTACAGTATGTTAATGTTGTTCAGATTGCATGGAGCATAGTGAAACAATGCATTTCTTTTCCAAACTAGTGAATGACATATTGATCCTATAAATTCATAAAAGAATGGGATTACTAAAACTGAGTTAAGAAAAGCCTCCTACTTTGTAAAGAAATCCTAAGTTTCAGTTTTATTTGATGGTACCTAATTATACATGATTGAGTAATAGCACTAATTTACAGGCATGTACACATAGAAAATGCTGTGATTCTACAGCATGTCGATTGAAAGATAGCAGCTTTGAGTGTGGTTCCGGGGAATGCTGCACACAAAATTGCAAGGTAAGAGTCAATATGTATTTTATAGTAGCTTAACATTAATTACTTGAAATTCTTGTTTAAAGAAGATGGAAAACATATTTCACCCTTCTCATTTTATTATATCCTAGTAACATTGGACCCACTCTCCCACTTCAGTCTTTCCAGCAATCTATCTCTCTTGTGTACATTATACCTGATGCTTCTTCTCTACTAACTTGACTTCCCATTTCTATACCTCATTACAAATCTTTCTTGTACCCATTGAGATTTCTTAATGATTAACATACATCACCCCTACCTATCAGGTCAGAAAGTTTGTTTAGTTCCTTTTGTTAGCTAAATTTTCTTCACTGCCTTCTGGTGAAGTCCTCTGTTCCTTTGCAATTCATTCCGTTATTGTTGCAATCATTCAATTACTCTTTTTTTTTATTGAAAGCATTTAAAGAATTTCTGAGCAGTTGTCCTATAGTGCAGCATTTTTCAACCGCTGTTCCGCGGCACACTAGTGTGCCGCGAGATGTTGCCTGGTGTGCCGTAGGTGCAGACAAGACAAGAATTTTATAATTTTTCACTATTTTGTTTACTTAATATTTCATAATAAAGTAATTATAAAATACTTTCTTTGTGTTTATTTGATTCCTATTCAAGAGAATTACTTTATATATAGTCAATATAGGCACAGAGTTAAATTTTTTAACATTTTCTAATGGTGGTGTGCCTCGTGATTTTTTTCATGAAACAAGTGTGCCTTTGCCCAAAAAAGGTTGAAAAACACTGCCATAGTGGCACAATTCACTGGAATCCTAAAGAAAAAGGAAACAAACTTCTGGACAAGGTGTAAACATTTGCAAGATTGGAGAAAGAGTATACTTTTATCTTTTAAAAATAATTTTCCCCCAGCCTTATTGAGATATAAATCACACATAACATAATATAAATTTAAGGTTTACAGCATAATTATTTAGTATAACTACATATTGCAAATTTATTACCATGTAAGATTAGTTGATACATCTATCACTTCATATAGCGAGAATAGTTAAGAGTTACTATTTTAGCAACTTTCAAATATGTAATATATTATTGTTAACTGCATTGACCATTCTGTGCATTAAATCCTCAGACTTATTCATTTTAGACTTGAAAATTTGAACTCTTGACCAATGTCTTCCAATTTCCCTCACTTGGTAGCGTCTGACAACTACCATTCTATTTTCTGTTTTGGTGAATATATATACATATATTATTTGCATATATTTCTTGTTTGACTTATTTCCTTTAGAATGATACCTTCAAGTTTAATCTGGCAGAATTTCCTTATTTTATTATGGTCGAGTATTACTCCATTGTTTATATATACTACATTTAAAATATGCATTCATCCATTGATGAACACTTAGCTATTTCCATGTCTGTTAGGTATAATGCTGCATGCAATGAACATGGAAGTTGACATATTCTTCAAGATACTGATTTTATATTCTTTAGATACATAGACCTATATTGGATTCCTGGATTAATGGAAGTTTTATTTTTAAATTTTTGAGGTTTCTTTTATAGTAGGATATTGCAACAATATTAGTTCTTATCTGTGAACACAGAATATCTTTTCATTTACTTGTGTCTCAAATATTTTCATCAACGTCTTATAGTTTTCTGTGGACAAGACTTTCAACCTCCTTTGTTAAATTTATTACTAAATATTCTATTCTTTTTGGTACTATTATAAATAGGTTTTTAAATTTTTCTTCTTCATACATTTTGTTATAAATGTGTAGAAATAAAAATATTTTTTCTGCTTTGATTCCATAACCTATGGCTTTACTGATTTTATTTCTCAGTTCTCTAGTTTGGTGGCTTCTTTAGGAATTTTTTGTATATAAGATCATGCCATCTGCAAACAGATACAATTTTCTGCGTTGTTTATGGTTTTGGTTCCTTTTATTTATTCTTTCCCCCCCCCCCCCCCCCCCCCCTTTTAGTGCTCTAGCTAGAGCTTTCAGTACTTCATTGAATAGGAATGGAGAAAGAGGATGCCTTTGTCCTGTTCATGATCTTAAAAGGACACCCTTTAAGCTTTTCCCTATTTAATATGATGTGAGCTAAAGCTTGTCATATATGGTCTTTATTATGTTGAGAAATGTTTTTTTTTTCTATACCCAAATTGTTGAGAACTTTTATCATGAAAGGGAGTTGAATTTTGTCGTACGTTTTTGTATCTCTTCAAAGGATAATATAATTATTATCCTTAATTCTATTAATGGGGTGTATCATTGAAATGCAGCAATTAAACTAAAACATGTGGTTTTCCTCTGAGTAGGATGCAAAGGTGGCTTCCTTCCTGGGTCCCTTGTACAGGTGGATTTGAAGAATGAAGCCACAGACAAAAGTTGGTATAGGAAAAGGTGGAAAATTATTGGGAAATAAACACAGACTCCTAGGTGGGGAGGGTGAGAGACCCTCTTTCTAAGACTTATAAAGGTTGCAGTTCTTTGTGTACTGATATCCCTTCTGATTGGTCAGTATAGCAGCTTCATGACTCAAACACCATGTGGAGTCCCCTTCTTTTTCTCCTCCTCTTGTGGTAGAATTCTCTGTTCCCTATGAAAATCTCTTTTCCTCTTTCTCCTTTTTTGTTTTTCTACTCCCTGTGGCTTTCCCCTTATCTTCTGTGAATGAGAGTCTTCCTCTCCTCTTATTCTGTGAATGAATGCCTTTTGGCAGCTCCTAGCACCCCCACCTTTGCAGCCCTCCTCCATGGACTCCCTTTATTTTGAGACTTCCCTAAACCTGCCTGTTTTACCCCTAAAAACTCCTTTTGTCATGTTTTCTAATTTCCATGTGTTGCATTGTCCATGTATCCTAGAGATAAGTCCCACTTGGTTATAGTTTATGAGCCGTTAATGTATGGTTGAACTTGGTGTGTTAGTGTTTTGTTGAAAAGTTTTATATTTATATTCATTAAGATGTTAGTCTGTAATTTTCATTTCTTGTTGTGTCTTAATCTGTTTTTGGTATCTTGATAATGCTGGCCTTGTAAAATGAGTTTGTGCTTTAATAAAAAAAGCACTTGAAGAGTTTGAGAAGTATTAGCATTATTCTTTAAATATTCCATAAATTTTGCCTCTGAAATCAACTGGTCCTGGGCTTTTCTTTTTTTTTTAAGAGGTTTGATAACAAATTCAGTCTCTTTAGTTGTGATTATTTTCTTCAAGCTTTCTATTTCTTCATGATTCATTCTTGTTAGGTTGTCTGTTTCTAGGCATCTATTTCTTGTATTTTACACAATTTTAACATGTAATTATTCATAGTAGCTTTCTATATTCCTTTGTATTTCTATGGTATCAGTTTTATTGTCTACTCTGTAATTGAGTCCTTTCTTTTTTTCTTTTTTGTTAGCCTTCTTCAAAGTTTGCCATTTTGTTTCCCTGATTTTTTAAAGTTACTTTGGAAACAAATGAGTTTATCAAAGTCACGGGTCACACAATTAGTATACAAAAACCAATTGTATACAATGGCTTCAAGAGCTATGAGTAATCTGGAAATGAAGTTAGAAAACGAATGCTATTTACAATAGCATAAAATACTTAGGAATACAATTAATACATGAAATGTTTGGTTTCAATACCAAATGAAAGATCAGATAGAGGCCTCAGGACTACAGGCTTTATTAGAGGATAAGGACCCTGCCGGGCTGTCTCCCAAGGGGAGAACAACAACACGTGCAGAAGTGAACATGCCTTTTGAGGGGAGGAATGGGAAGGGATGGGGCTTAGGGTACTTGGCATGCTCTGATTCACCAATTCATATAAAGCACATGATTAAGCATTTAGGTATTTAAGAATCAAGGTCTTAGGGTATTTGGCAGGTGCTGATTGGTGGTTCAACGTATAGTCTATATAAGGTGCCTGGTTAGGTACCCAGGCATATCCAGGCCACAGGTGCAGGTTATGTCATACTCCGTCCACCAGTTGGGGGAAGGGAGGATCTATCACATACACTTAACAAAACATTATTGAAAAAATAAAAATAAGCTGAAAAGATCAGAGATATATAATTGAAGAAGTTATTTTTTTAAACAGTTGTTTGCAATGTGGTTTGTGAAATAAAATTCCTATGTATCCTTAAATTTTCTTTTTTTTAAATCTACACACTTTGTTCTATATGTTTACGGTTTTGTAAATGGTTGCCAATATCTGGCATATGGAGAAACCTAAGGCTACACATCTGAGCATAGCCATAATGATTGAAAGTAATTTTTATATTAATTCCTTAGATTTACTTTCTTTTTTACAATAATGGTAACCTGATTATCTTTAAGTTTCTCATATCTCTCAGAAATATTACCCACTCATTTATGCATTATAAATTCAATCACTTAAGTTGTTATGCAGTGCTTAAGTAATTAAGAAAAATTTCCTCATTGATCTTAGTTAGCAACTTAGAAAAAAATGGATGGAAATTCAGAGTCTGAAGAGAAAGAAAACTTGAGTATCACTGATATGTAATCTTCTCTTATGTTTCTTTTTTCTTCTAGTTAAAACCACGTGGTAAAGTTTGTAGGAAACAATATGATGACGAATGTGATTTTGTTGACTATTGCAATGGAATTGACTCACATTGTGTACCTGACACTTATAAACGAGATGGGCAATATTGTAATTCAAATGAATCCTTCTGTTACACAGGGGAATGTCGGATATTTGATAAACAGTGTAGAGACTTAATTGGAGGAGGTAATGACCATATTTTCTTCATAGTTCCAAGCTCTATTCAATTCTATAGAACAAAAATGTAGATATAATTTGTTAATAAGTGAAAGCTTCTCTACCGTATATTATTGTTAAAGGAAATAAGTGTCTTGATTCTTTAAAACAAACAAAAAACCCTGTTCATTTATATGAAACTATAGACCCAATGCACAAAATTTGTGCAAGAATAGGCCCCCGGAGCCCCAGCTGCCTCGGACCCGTAGCCCAGGCTTGTCTGAAAGGTCATCTGGACAGTCGTTCTGCTGTTCAGCTGTTCGGTTGATTGGTATATTACACTTTTATTATTATAAATTGTTATTTGCACATAAAAGAACCCTCAAGTAGAAATGAAGCTTCTCAGAACGGTATATAGAACCTGAGGTGGTGGGAGTTAGATTAGACTTACAATGAAACTAAGGATTTTACTAGAACAAAGCAGGGCTAATGACTGGTTGTGTGGATTTTAATACTGGCTCTGCTCAAAGGGGCTTTCTGAAAAGTGAGGGCTTCCAAGTTGATAGTTTCCTATAAATGTGTAGAATATTAGCGTCATTGAAATACTACACATTTTCCTACACATATGTAGTTTAGATTTTTTGAGTGAGTGAGAAATTTTTTATTTCTTAGTCCTCCCTCTAGGTCTTCCTTTGCCAGGTCAGAAGAGAAAATTCTAATTAGTGTCCAGATCAATAGGAATGCCAGGAATTTAAAAGGAGAATGACACAAGGGTTTAGTAATTATTATACTTTTGTTCTTTTCTATAGAATTGTGGTTGTGCCATTCTGTCAAGCCAGGCTACTTTACAGCAATATTTAAAACATAACTGAGATGAAAAACAAATTACCACTAAAGTCAAGAAAAAAATAGAAATGTGTACTTCAGATTCAATATTTTCCCAAATAAAAGCAAGAAAATAAATCTCAGTGTTATTTTTAGTGTTAGAGAGTGGGATGTCAGCTAGATGTTCCCCAGGTAATTTATTTACTGTTTTGTTAGTATTAACAGTGATTTTAAAGCCCTCTGTGGGAAACTATATGTGAATAAGTACAATAATAATCTCCTAAAATAGAATAGCTGTCTTTTTGGAGGAAAGTATAACATGTAATGAATCTTGATTTCAAATTAATGTCTGTCCAATCCAAGTGATCACTTGTGTTGATGTGTCTAGAAAAGGGTAAGTTTGGCTATCAGTCAACTTTTGTAGTTAATTTTGGAAAACAATCCCATTTATGTAGCTTCATGTAGACCTTGGAGGCCATAGGCAGCTGTTGAAAACAATCTGTTTTTAAATCCAAATTAACTATAATTCTTTGACTAGATCACCCATGGAAGCCAATCCTGGACACTAGTGACCAGAATCATCTTAAGGAGGGTTTCATGTAATTCTAAAGGAGGCTTTCCAGCATAAAAACCATATATGATTTACAGGCAGGAGCCAAACCTCATTCCATAGACCTTTTACTGAGTTTAGGATTCATCACAAAGGGAACTTACCCCAAATTAATGCTGAATCAATAGGATTTGTGAGAGAAGAGGGGAATCTAGGACTTCCTGCACTGTAGTTTTGCTGATATCTTTCTCCCTCTGGAATATCTTTTCCTCTTTTCCTCCTCAACATCATTGAGATGTAATTGACATATAACACTATATAAATTTAAGATTTAGAACATGTTGATTTGATATATTTACACATTGCTAAATGATTACCACTATAGTGTTAGTTAACACCTCCATCTTGTCACATAATTTCCATTTCTTTTTTTGTGGTGAGAACTTTGCTCTCTTAGCAACTTTCAAGTATATAATACAGTTTTCTTAGCTATTACCACTATGCTGTGCATATCACCAGAACTTGTAAATACTATAACTGGAAGTTTTTACCCTTTGGCCATATATCCCTATTTACACTACCCAGTGTCTCTGATAATTACTACACTACTCTATGATTCCATGAATTGTTTGTTTGTTTTTTTGTTTTTTTTGAGATTCCACATATAAGTGATGTTATATATTTGCCTTTCTTTGATTTATTTCACTTAGCATAATGCCTTCAAGATTCATCTAGGTTATGTCAAATGGCAAGAATTCCTTATTTTCCTGGCTGAATAATATTTGTACATTCACATATACACACATCTTCCCTTTTACATTTATCTGTTGATGGACCCCTAAGTTGTTTGTATATCTTAGACATTGTGAATAAGGCTGCATGAATGTAGGAGTGTATTTACTTGAGATCCTGATTTCAATTCCTTTGAATATAGACCCAGAAGTGGGATTGCTGGAATTGCAAAGGAATTGTTTATTCCTATTTTTAGTTTTTGTGGAACCTCCATACTATGCCCTCTCACAGTTCTGGAACCCTTGGAGGATGTCTGACTGCCAGCTTAGGCCGGCTCTCTATCAGCCAGCTGTGAGCTCAGCTTCTTACTGAGAGGTGCTTCCCCCTGTGGGAGCACATTGACCATCAGGGGAAGCTCCTGCTGCATTGAGTGTCTGACCCTGGTGGTCAGTGTGTGTCATAGTGATTCATTGTTCCACCGTTTAGTTTATTTGCATATTAGCCTTTTATTATATAGGAATTGCTGATAATTCCTAAATGGTCAAATTTAGGAGTAGCTGCTTGTAATATTCTTGAGCATTGACATCAATGTCACCAAGTGCAGTACACTAGCTTTCCTCATCCATAAACAGAAACATAAACACCTGCCTACCTTCATTGCAGTCCTGATCTGGTAATAAAATGTGATGGGAAAGCACTGTGAGTTATAAAATATGAGGGATTAACAAACAAGATGAACAAGTATATGTAAGTACACAAAATAAATTTCTTTCTTCTAGAGATTATTGCAACCACATAGGAAACAAAACAAAAGAGAAATAACCCCCCAAAATACAAACAAACTAACTAACTAACTAACTAACTAACTAACTCACTCACTCACTCACTCACTCTTGATCCCACTACTTTCTCAAAATCTCCTCCAAGAGCATTCCTAACCACAGCAGGTCACTGCAGTTGCTGATGTTTCCATCAAGGAACTTGCACCCTCAGGGTTCTGGGAACCCCAGTGACTTCATTGTTGTAAGATCATCAAATTTCTGTCCTAAGTTGTCCCAAACTTCTGATCACTTTCTTTATTCATTTGAGTTTTGTGGTAAACTCAGTTCAAAGCCTGCCAAATAGAGGCAAGAATAAGGAAGTTGATACCATATATTCTTAAATCTCTCAGGCCTCAGGAGAATTAGGTGACAGAACCACAAAGATATAATTTTGGGAGAAAAATAAAATTCTGGTCTTGAGTAAGTCATCCAGGGCAGTGGGCCTTTGGTGTGAAGAAAACAATGCAAAAATGGCTATTACCCTGAGCCTCAAAAGTTAAGCTAAAAAAGGCCACTGTAGAGGGTATTCGGTTGTTCACAGTGGTGGGTTACTTACATGGCTCCCCAAGCCCATTAAGAGAACTGTGGGTAGATTGGAAGAATTGTTCAAATGACACAGGTTTTTTGTGTTTTTAAAAATTATATATATTTTATTGATATTTTACAGAGAGGAAGGGAGAGGGATAGAAAGTTAGAAACATCGATGAGAGAGAAACATGGATCAGTTGCCTCCTGCACATCTGTCACTGGGGATGTGCTAGCAACCAAGGTACATGCCCTTGACCAGAATCGAAACTGAGACCCTTCAGTCTGCAGGCCGATGCTCTATCCACTGAGCCAAACCTGTTTTGGCTGACACAGATTTTATATAACAAACAATGACTCATACCAATCCAACATTTAGTGTTTTGTGCATGATGGATTTTCCTGTAATCAACTTTGATTTAAAAAAATATATTCTTGATTGATTAAAAATATTTTTAAAAAATCAGTTTTACATATTCTGCCCTTTCCCCCCCATTGACCTCTACCCTACCACTCCAACCCCCCATGCCCTCACCTCCCTAGTGTCTATGTCCATTGGTTAGGCTTATATGCATGCATACAAGTCCTTTGGTTGAGCTCTTGCCCATCCCCCTGTACATGCCCCCCTGCCTTTTCTCTTAGGTTTGACAGTCTGTTTGAGACTTCTCTGTTTCTGATCTATTTTTGTTCATCAGTTTATGTTGTTCATTGTATTCCACAGATGAGTGACATCATGTGATATTTATCTTTCTCCAGCTGGCTTATTTTGCTTAGCATATGCTCTCCAGTGCTATCCATTCTGTTAAGAATGGTAAGAGTTCCTTCTTTTTCCAGCAAAGTAGTATTCCATGTGAAGATGTACCACAGTTTTCTAATCCATTTATTGACTGATGGGCACTTAGGCTGTTTCCAAATTTTAGCTATGCTACTATGAACACAGGGGAGCATATATCCTTTCTGATTGGTGTTTCTGATTTCTTGGGATATATTCTTAGAAGTGGGATTACTGGGTCAAATGGGTGTTCCATTTTTAATTTTTTTAAAATATATTTTATTGATTTTTTACAGAGCGGAAGGGAGAGAGATAGAGAGCTAGAAAAGTCGATGAGAGAGAAACATCGACCAGCTGCCTCTTGCACACCCCCTACTGGGGATGTGCCCGCAACCAATGTACATGCCCTTGACTGGAATCGACCTGGGACCTTTTAGTCCCCAGACTGATGCTCTATCCACTGAGCCAAACCGGTTTCGGCCATTTTTAATTTTTTTGAGGAAATTCATACTGTTTTCCACATTGGCTGCACCAGTCTGCATTCCAACCAGCAGTGCAAGAGGGATTCCTTTTTCTTCACATCCTTGCCAGCACTTGTCGTTTGTTGATTTGTTGATGATAGCCATTCTGACAAGTGTGAGGTGGTACCTCCTTGTCATTTTGATTTGCATCTCTTGAATGATTAGTGACTTTGAGCATGTTTTCATATGTCTCTTGGCCTTCTGTATGTACTCTTTTGAAAAGTGTCCATTTAGGTCCTTTGCCCATTTTTGGGATTGCGTTGTTTATCTTCCTTTTGTTAAGT